TATGAGTACCGAAAGTATGAGTTCTGATCCGAGATCAGGCCACCCCATCAATATAATCTTATTCATTATAATCTAAAAGGCAAATCTGATCCTATATGAGCACTCCCACCCAAATCTCATCTAACAGAGCCATTGGTGTGATATGAAGAGCCTTGTGAGCTACAGTACGTCACAGGCGTAGTGAGACTTACAAAAATAGATTTGCTGTTATGTTTTTAACGCTCACATCGCTTTTCAACCGTTTTTTCCACCAAGGACACAAAACAGCATTGATGCGGTCTCGATTATTAATAGCTTACTTCACATGAGAGATGAGACACCGTGTTGCATTAATGCAAAAACAAACCAATAATAAGCCAAAGGGAAGGACATTGAAATGTGGGGTTCACAAATCAAAGTCAAGAAACACGTATTGTCATTAAATAGACATAACACTCCAAAATCTAAACGTGTCAGATATTGTCATAACTCAAAAGCGGTCATCTGAGTCCACAACCCAGGCAATTTTTAAAGATGCAGCTACATCCCACAATCCAAAATGAATGGAAAAGATAAGCACCATGTAACTTCCAGATTTGCTGTGCTTATCTTTTCCATTTATTTGGGATTGGAGGCAGCTGGGTCTACACAATCAATGGCGTGGGATGTGGACTCAACTTCATATTAGACTACAGTCAAATAAAATGATGTCCAAGTTCAGACCAGAAAAAGTAATGTCCCTTTAAACCAGTGTTAATTTCATCAACAACAGACAAAATACTTGTCAACGGCCTAGTTTTCCTGACTAAAGCTATGACGATGAGACGCCCTCGAAAAACGATAACTATTACTAATTACTTTTCATTTTAGTCGACGAAAATGTGACGAGATGAGAATTCCACGTGAGACTAATGCACATTTAATTCGACATGAAGCTCCTTTTTTAAAATCTGTTTTGTCCAATCCTAAGCATACACGCATGCAGAATATTTAATGCAATCCTCTCATTGACATCTTTCAGTTGCGTGGTCTGATTGAGCTGATCTGCCCGGCTCTCAGGCAGTCACTTTAGTCAGTCGGCAATCTTTTGAACTGATGCAAAGCCAGAACACTTGACTTGTAACTAAACTAAAAACAATGTTTACTCTAATTTTCATGTAGGCTATTTTTGCTTTGATCACATCAGAAGCTCTAGTTTCCCATATGCACTGTTATTCATTCAACTGTGTTGCTGCTCTCAAGCCGCGGTCCGCAAATGACTTGCGGTTGCTTTTTTCCCCCCAATGGGAAAAAAACGAATGCTATTTGTTGAATATTAGGAGTACAGTAATACTTCTGGCATTTTTCGCTAAATTCAAATTACCCCCTTTTCAAAGAAACCACCTATTTACCCCCTTGATGGTTATGATGGGGAGAAAATCAGAGCTTTAAATCGTTTAACCTGTAGCCAAGGCTTTATAGCCAATTTGGCTAATTATGGCTGGCATTGGTTACAATCTGCCACAATATCAATGTTGCCAGCTAAGGTATACGATGGGCTAGTAGGCCTAGTTGGACAAGGCTATCTGAATGTGTAAGATGGAAGTTAGAGGCAGCCTAAATATTCATTATTTAATAGGAAAAAAATGCACCGACTATGTGACTAAAATTGTCCAGAGTTTTAGTCGACCGATAACTAAAACTAACAAAGGATGAAATGACAAAAATGTGACTAAGACTAAATCTAAAAAAGCTGCCAAAATGAACACTGGTTTAAACTAATAACATGGTAATACATGTACTGTAGGCATTTTCTCAAATTTACCCATAGTGGAGTTTCAGCTTTCATTCCTCCAGGCCAGCGTTTGTGATGTCTGCTAGTTTATCAAACTGAGCTCATCTATTAATCTACACCAGCGGAGTAGTGGAAATGTGTCACATTCTGCCTGTCAGGCTATCTGTTACGAAATCCCTGCCGGAGACTCTTAGCACACCATCTCATAGACCTCTCTCAGGGACACAAACTCTGCAACTTTCTAACTCTTGCAGTAGGCTCCCCTCCCTCTCAGGAGCTTAACAGGCTAGGCTAGGTGTCGTAAACTGGCCCTTCACACCTCTGGCCCTAGCCAAACAGATTGGTTGCTAGGGGTCATGGTTGCCTGGGGCCTTGTCACACCGTGGGCTCAGCCAATCACAGGCAATTCCCGACTCTCCAATTCCTGCATCCCCCTCGGTCTCCTTCAAGCAGTCACAGAGGGTGCAGTAAGCTCATCCCTGTCCTGCACAACAGCTGGACTCATATCTCTGGACTTGTGGGATGGTGTGCGTGCACAAAGTGAGTTGTGACATTTGTATATTGTTCTTCGTAGTCAGTTGTTACCATTGGTGTATGCTGCCTTTGTGTATAGCTGTATTGTAATACCTGTATGTGCAGGTAGCGTATACATTTTCATACAGTCCTTCCCTTGTTAATAGCCTTGTTGCTCTACTTGAGCTATCAGTTACTGTATTGTGTACAGTGCATTCATCACCTCGGTTTCTCATGTTTCAGAACCACTACCGTTCCATGTACATTTCATCTGTGTGTGTGTCAATAACGTACCCTTGTCTGTGTAACTTTGAGGTTGCCTTATTCCCCTCTAACCGGGGGAAGTGCTAGTGGGTCACAGATCAGCCCAAATGGAGAGTCGCTCTTTCACTATTGCTCACAACGTGGACGCACACTACATAACAGTATGTGGACCCCCGTTCGAACATCTCATTTCAAAATCATGGGCATTAATATGGAGTTGGTCCCCCCTTTGCTGCTATAACAGCCTTCACTCTTCTGGGAAGGTTTTCCCCTAGATGTTGGAACATTGCTGCGGGGACTTACTTCCATTCAGCCACAAGAGCATTAGTGAGGTCGGGCACTGATGTTGGGCGATTAGGCATGGCTCGCAGTCGGCGTTCCAATTCATCCCATAGGTGTTCAATGTGGTTGAGGTCAGGGCTCTGTGCAGGCCAGTCAAGTTCTTCCACACTGATCTCGACAAACCATTTCTGTATGGACCTCGCTTTGTGCACAGGGACATTGTCATGCTGAAACAGTAAAGGGCCTTCCCCAAACTGTTGCCACAAAGATGGAAGCACAGAATCGTCTAGAATGTCATTGTATGCTGTAGCGTTAAGATTTCCCTTCACTGGAACTAAGGGGCCTAGCCCAAACCATGAAAAACAGCCCCAGACCATTATTCCTCCTCCACCATACGTCACAGTTGGCACTATGCATTAGGGCAGGTAGCATCCACAAAACCCAGATTTGTCCATCAGACTGCCAGATGGTGAAGCGTTTCCACTGCTCCAGAGTCCAATGGAGGCGAGCTTTACACCACTCTAGTCGACGCTTGGCATTGCGCATGGTGATCTTAGGCTTGTGTGTGGCTGCTCGGCCATGGAAACACATTTAATGAAGCTCCCGACAAACAGTTATTGTAGTGAAGTTGCTTCCAGAGGCAGTTTGGAACTCGGTAGTGAGTGTTGCAACAGAGGACAGAATTTTTACTCGCTGCACGCTTCAGCACTCGGCGGTCCCGTTCTGTGAGCTTGCATGGCCTACCACTTCACGGCTGAGCCATTGTTGCTCCTAGACGTTTCCAACTCACAATAACAGCACTTACAGTTGACTGGGGCAGCTCTAGCACGGAATAAATTTGACGAACTGATTTGTTGGTACGGTGGCATCCTATGACGGTGCCACGTTGAAAGTCACTGAGCTCTTCAATAAGGCCATTCTATGGCCAATGTTTGTCTATGGAGATTGCATGACTGTGTGCTCGATATTATACACTTGCCAGCAATGGGTGTGGCAGAAATAGCTGAATCCATGAATTTGAAGGGGTGTCCACATACTTTTGTATATATAGTGCATGTCACACACACACACACCCCTACACACACAAAATGTGACTTCTCTACACAGCCACAGAGACGCCGAATGTCAGAACGGGATAGCAGAACAGACATGCAATTCATCACGCTGCACAAAGAGCGGGGAAGGTTGACCTTCAGCTCCGGACCTCATGTTCTCTTTTCATTTCCTCGATAAATGCCATGTGTGGGAACAATGACGGACGCTTGATGACAGCTGCTAAACACTTGTCTGACAGCGTTCCGTGTAGGATGCCGCTCACAGAATGGACAGGACGTTTAGGACGTTGACATTTGGTAGGGATGTGCAGCTCTCCTTTCATGAACGATTAGATACGTGGGCTCCGATACAGGAACGATACGTTTTAGTTTGAAACAATTCGGTGCGATTTGATGCGATTCGATGCACTAACATTTATAGCATGAACACATTCATTTTTTAAAATTCATATTTGCTGCTGATGGGATGACTTCTCGAAGTCGAGTGGCCCTCCGTTTGTGTGTGTGTGAGAGTGTTAGGGGTGGGGGCAATTTATTATTTTTGTCCACCCACTTATCAGAAATCACCATCACCCACTGATGAACTCCTTCAAGACTGTTGGAAAAGCATTCCAGGTGAAGCTGATTGAGAGAATGCCAAGAGTCTGCAAAGCTGTCATCAAGGCAAAAAGGGTGGCTATTTAAAGAATCTCAAATATAAAATATTATTACATTACATTATAGTCATTTAGCAGACGCTCTTATCCAGAGCGACTTACAGGAGCAATTAGGGTTAAGTGCCTTGCTCAAGGGCACCGACAGATTTTTCACCTAGTCGGCTCGGGGGATTAGAACCAGCGACCTTTCGGTTACTGGCACAACGCTCTTAACCACTAAGCTACCTGCCGCTCTATACATTTGCTAGATGATTAAACATCGTTTTCACACTAAAGTGTATCAACTTGTATGTTGTACGAACTTTCCATCAGAATAATCCAGCAAAATCCTTGATGGGAATCTGGATGATGCTATAAGTGTGCTAGATGGGATAAAAGAACACTTTGGCTTTCTTTTTTGGTGAAAACCATGAGAATGTTAGATATACTAACCAGCATATTTTAGCAGCACTAATTCCACAGCCTTCTCATTGAGTCTCAGTCATCTGTGGTATCTTCTTCGAGATCGCTCTCAGGTGAGCTCCTGTGTCTGTACTCGGTGGTGTTAGACAGACATTTCCAAGCTACGTCCTTCTGGTTACTGGTGCCTGTGCTGTTGGAGCGGCCTAGCCGGGCCAAAGCCTGGTGTTTTCCTGAGGTCTTCTCCCTGTCCTCCTGGGCCTCTGCTAAGCCCCCCTGGGCCCTCTCAGACCTCTGGTGGTGGAGGTCATGCCTCAGGTTCTCCAGGTTGAGGGCCCAGGGGCCAAGCTTCTGCCAGTTGACCCTCTGGAAGGCCATGATGCAGTGAAGGTTCCCTCCCAAATATATCAAATATATTTTGATTTGTTTAACACTTTAGGTTACTACATGATTCCATGTGTTATTTCATAGTTTTGATGTCTTCACTATTATTCTACAATGTAAAAAATAGTAACAATAAAGAAAAACCCTTGAATTAGTAGGTGTCCAAACTTTTGACTGGTAGTGTAGCTGTGCAGCAATGCTCCCCATCCAACCTGACAGAGCTTGAGAGGATCTGCAGAGAAGAATGGAAGAAACTCCCCAAATACAGGTGTGCCAAGCTTGTAGCGTCATACACAAGAAGACTCGAGGCAGTAATCGCTCCAAAAGGTGCTTCAACTGAGTAAAGGGACTGAATACTTATGTCAATGTGATATTTCCATTTTTTATTAATACATTTGCAAAAATGTCTAAAAACTAATTTGCTTTGTCATTATGGGTTATTGTGTGTAGATGGATGAGGGAAAAAAACTATTGAATCTTTTTTTAGAATAAGGCTGTAACGTAACAAAACGTGGAAAAAGTCAAGGGGTCTGAATACTTTCCGAATGCACTGTAAGTCTGTAAAATCTTTGAAATTGTTGCTTGCTTTATATAAATAGACATTATTACCCACTAATACCTAAATTGACCCGCATTTGGCAGGTGTTAATTTTATGCGCCTTTACTGATGCATGCTTAATTTGGATCGGTTTGGGGTCTTAGGACGGATGCGTGTGTGAGAATCTTTACATCCCTAACGTTTGGCGAAGGTCACAACCTTGAAGCAACATCAGTTATCCCGAGATAGACTTTGAAAGTGTTTCAAACGGCAAGAACATGTTGAAGTAGTACATAGAAAGCTGTCTACATATACTGAGTCAACCACTACCGTATTTTCCGCACTATAAGGCGCACCGGAGTATAAGCCGCAGCAGCAGCTAAATTGAATGATGTGTACATATATAAGCCGCACTGGACTATAAGCCGCAGGTGTTTTAATGTTTAATTACCATATGTAAGGGTTCGTGCACAGAGGGGATTGTCGGGAAAGAGACAAACTGTCTCGCTCTCGTAATGTCTGTCTGTCTTGCTCTCGTTCTGTCTCTCGTTCTGTCTCTCGTACCACTCTCGGTTCCACTTTTACTTTTGCGCGCTACCTGTCTCACTCTTTTCCGGCCTCCAGCTTTTCCTGGTGGGGGGCGCGGACCGGTCATAGAGCCCATAGAGTTAAAGTTGGTGGACTGTAACCTGTAAAATCCATAGATTTAGGAGGCCTTCTAGTGGCCGTTAGCTGTAAAAATCCATAGATTAGCCGCACCGTTATATAAGCCGCAGGGTCGAAAAATGGCGCGGCTTATAGTCCGAAAATTACGGTAATTCTGGTCCTCGAGAGTAACAGGGTGTGCAGGCCAGCCCATTACGAACACACGAGATTCAACCAATAAAGGTCTTGAATCAGGTGTTTGAGTGCTGTGCTGTAATGAAAACATGCACACTGCGTTAGGAGTTCAACGTGACATGGCGTGCAGGGTTTTATTGCAGCCCAGCACTAAAAGTTACTTTTAGGGCCAGGGTTGGTGGTGACTGCTGATACAGGGATTTTGAATGACTTGGAAAGCTGTCTCTACAAAAGGCCTACTTTAACACCATGTTTTCATTTCATCTGCTTTGGTGGTGAGAGATACAGACCTGGTCTGGGGACGGGCTGCAGGGCTGGTGTCTGGGCCTTCCTGGCAGACGCTCCCTCCTGAAACACACAAACAGAAACACACTGGTCAACCTACAGCCTGATGAATGAAAAGCCAACACTACATATTGGCAGAAGGTAGGTAAGTTCCATCCAACTCGGACTCTCTAACATATTTACAGTGCATTCGTAAAGTATTCAGACCCGATGACTTTTTCCACTTTGTTACATTACAGCCTCATTCTAAAATTGATTAAATTGTCCCCCCCCCCTCCCCTCAATCTACACACAATACCCCATAATGACAAAGCAAAAAAACAGATTTAGAAATGTTTGCCAAAAAATATATATATAATACAACTGAAATATCACATTTACATAAGTATAATAATACATAAGCAAATAAATTCATTAAAAATCCTACAATGTGATTTTCTGGATTTTTTTCCCTCAATTTGTCTGTCATAGTTGACGTGTACCTATGATGAACATTTCAGGCCTCTCATCTTTTTAAGTGGGAGAACTTGCACAATTGGTGGCTGACTAAATACTTTTTTTCCCCACTGTATAATAATAGATTCAGTGGCATGTCATTAAGAGTCATTTGGTTTATTACCTCATGAAAGTAACTAGCTCCAGTTCCTAGACTTATATGACCCACATGCAAATGTTTTCAAAGCGATATTAAAAGGAGTCCTGTTAATAATTGCCAGCTCGGTCCTATGTTGCTAAATGTTTAATTGTTATATTGGATAAAAGTAGAGACTGAGCTAGACAATGGTATACAGTGCCTTCGGAAAGTATTCAGACCTTGACTTTTTCCACATTTTGTTAGGTTATAGCCTTATTCTAAAATTTATCAAATTGTTTTTTTTCCCTCTCTCAATCAATCTACACACAATACCCCATAATGACAAAGCAAAAACTGTTTCAGCCATTTCTGCTAAAACATATATTATAATGAAATGTCACATTTACATAAGTACTCAGACCCTTTACTCAGTACTTTGTTGAAGCACCTTTGGCAGCGATTACAGCCTCGAGTGTTCTTTGGTATGACGCTACAAGCTTGGCACACCTGTATTTGGGGAGTTTCTCCCATTCTTGTCTGCAGATCCTCTCAAGCTCTGTCAGGTTGGATGGGGAGCATCGCTGCACAGCTATTTTCAGTTCTCTCCAGAGATGTTTGATCGGGTTCAAGTCCGGGCTCTGGCTGGGCCACTCAAGGACATTCAGAGACTTGTCCCAAAGCCACTCCTGCATTGTCTTGGCTGTGTGCTTAGGGTCGTTGTCCTGTTGGAAGGTGAACCTTTGCCCCAGTGCCAGGTTTCCTCCAGATGTGACGCTTGGCATTCAGGCCAAAGAGTAAAATATTGATTTCATCAGACCAGATAATCTTGTTTCTCATGGTCTGAGAGTCCTTTAGGTGCATTTTCGCAAACTCCAAGCGGGCTATCATGTGCCTTTTATTGAGTAATGGCTTCCATCTAGCCAGTCTACCATAAAGGCCTGATTGGTGGAGTGCTGCAGAGATGGTTGTCCTTCTGGAAGGTTTCCCCATCTCCACAGAGGATCTCTGGAGCTCTGTCAGAGTGACCATTGGGTTCTTGGTCACCTCCCTGACCAAGGCCCTTCTCTCCCGATTGCTCAGTTTGGCCTGGTGGCCAGCTCTAGGAAGAGTCTTTGTGGTTCCAAACTTCTTCCATTTAAGAATGATGGAGGCCACTGTGTTCTTGGAGACCTTCAATGCTGCAGAAATGTTTTGTTCCCCTTCCCCAGATCTGTGCCTCGACACAATCCTGTTTTGGAGCTCTAAGGACAATTCATTTGACCTCATGGCTTGGTTTCTGCGCTGACATTCACTGTCAACTGTGGGACCTTATATAGACAGGTGTGTGCGCCTTTCCAAATCATGTTCAATCAATTTAATTTACCATAGGTGGACTCCAATCAAGTTGTAGAAACATCAAGGATGATGAATGGAAACAGGAGGCACCTGAGCACAATTTCGAGTCTCATAGCAAAGGGTCTGAATACTTACAGTACCAGTCAAAAGTTTGGACACACCTACTCATTCCAGGGTTTTTCTTGATTATTACTATTTTATCTTTATTTAACTAGGCAAGTCAGTTAAGAACAAATTCTTATTTACAATGGCGGCCTACACCGGCCAAACCCGGACGAAGCTGGGCCAATTATGCGCCACCCTATGGGACTCCCAATCACGGCCGGTTGTGATACAGCCTGGAATCGAACCAGGGGGTCTGTAGTGATGCCTCAAGCACTGAGATGCAGTGCCTTAGACCACTGCGCCACTCGGGAGCCCATGGTCGAATTGCTGCAAAGAAACAACTACTAAAGGACACCAATAAGAAGAAGAGACTTGCTTGGGCAAAGAAACACGAGCAATGGACATTAGACTGGTGGAAATCTGTCCTTTGGTCTGATGAGTCCAAATGTGAGATTTTTTGGTTCCAACCGCCATGTCTTTGTGAGACGCAGAGTAGGTGAACGGATGATCTCCGCATGTGTGGTTCCCACCGTGAAGCATGGAGGAGATGGTGTGATGGTGCTTTGCTCGTGACACTGTCTGCGATTTATTTAGAATTCAAAGCACACTTAATCAGCATGGCTACCACAGAAGTTTGTAGCGAGTCGAGGTAATATGTACAGTGGGGAGAACAAGTATTTGATACACTGCAGATTTTGCATGTTTTCCTACTTACAAAGCATGTAGAGGTCTGTAATTTTTATCATAGGTACACTTCAACCGTGAGAGACGGAATCTAAAACAAAAATCCAGAAAATCACATTGCATGATTTTTAAGTAATTAATTTGCATTTTATTGCATGACATAAGTATTTGATACATCAGAAAAGCAGAACTTAATATTTGGTACAGAAACCTTTGTTTGCAATTACAGAGATCATACGTTTCCTGTAGGTCTTGACCAGGTTTGCACACACTGCAGCAGGGATTTTGGCCCACTCCTCCATACAGACCTTCTCCAGATCCTTCAGGTTTCGGGGCTGTCGCTGGGCAATACAGACTTTCAGCTCCCTCCAAAGATTTTCTATTGGGTTCAGGTCTGGAGACTGGCTAGGCCACTCCAGGACCTTGAGATGGTTCTTACGGAGCCACTCCTTAGTTGCCCTGGCTGTGTGTTTCGGGTCGTTGTCATGCTGGAAGACCCAGCCACGACCCATCTTCAATGCTCTTACTGAGGGAAGGAAGTTGTTGGCCAAGATCTTGCGATACATGGCCCCATCCATCCTCCCCTCAATACGGTGCAGTCGTCCTGTCCCCTTTGCAGAAAAGCATCCCCAAAGAATGATGTTTCCACCTCCATGCTTCACAGTTGGGATGGTGTTCTTGGGGTTGTACTCATCCTTCTTCCTCCAAACACGACGAGTGGAGTTTATTAATTTTTTTCATTTAAGTCATTTAGCAAACGCTCTTATCCAGAGCGACTTACAGTTAGTGAGTGCATACATTATTTATTTTTTATTTTTCATACTGCCCCCCCGTGGGAATCGAACCCACAACCCTGGCGTTGCAAACGCCATGCTCTACTAACTGAGCTACATCCCTGCTCTATTTTTGTCTCATCAGACCACATGACCTTCTCCCATTCCGCCTCTGGATCATCCAGATGGTCATTGGCAAACTTCAGACGGGCCTGGACATGCGCTAGCTTGAGCAGGGGGACCTTGCGTGCGCTGCAGGATTTTAATCCATGACGGCGTAGTGTGTTACTAATGGTTTTCTTTGAGACTGTGGTCCCAGCTCTCTTCAGGTCATTGACCAGGTCCTGCCGTGTAGTTCTGGGCTGATCCCTCACCTTTCTCATGATCATTGATGCCCCACGAGGTGAGATCTTGCATGGAGCCCCAGACCGAGGCTGATTGACCGTCATCTTGAACTTCTTCCATTTTCTAATAATTGCGCCAACAGTTGTTGCCTTCTCACCAAGCTGCTTGCCTATTGTCCTGTAGCCCATCCCAGAATTCTTACTGGTTGGTAGGTGATCAAATACTTATGTCATGCAATAAAATGCAAATCAATTACTTAAAAATCATACAATGTGATTTTCTGGATTTTTGTTTTAGATTCTGTCTCTCACAGTTGAAGTGTACCTATGATAAAAATTACAGACCTCTACATGCTTTTAAAGTAGGAAAACCTGCAAAATCGGCAGTGTATCAAATACTTGTTCTCCCCACTGTAAGTAATTTAGCTCGTCTGGTAGGCTCGTGTCACTAGGCAGCTCGCGGCTGTGCTTCCCTTTGTAGTCTAATAGTTTGCAAGCCCTGCCACATCCGACGAGCACGATTCAATCTGGATTGACGCTTTGCCTGTTTGATGGTTTGTCGGAGGGCATAGCAGGATTTCTTATAAGAGTCCCGCTCCTTGAAAGCAGCAGCTCTACCCTTTAGCTCAGTGCAGATGTTGCCTGTAATCCATGGCTTCTGGTTGGGGTATGTACGTACAGTCACTGTGGGGACGACGTCATCGATACACTTATTGATGAAGCCAGTGACTGATGTGGTGTACTCCTCAATGCCATCGGAAGAATCCCGGAACATATTCCAGTCTGTGCTAGCAAATCAGTCCTGTAGCTTAGCATCTGCTTCATCTGACCACTTTTTTAGAATCTAGAGTCTAGAATAATGGTCAGATTTGCCAAATGGAGGGCGAGGGAGAGCTTTGTACGTGTCTGTGTGTGGAGTAAAGGTGGTCTAGAGTTTTTTCCCCTCTGGTTGCACATTTAACATGCTGGTAGAAATGAGGTAAAACAGATTTAAGTTTCCCTGCATTAAAGTCCCCGGCCACTAGGAGCGCCGCCTCTGGATGAGCGTTTTCCTGTTTGCTTATGGCCGTATACAGCTCATTGAGTGCGGTCTTAGTGCCAGCATCGGTTTGTGGTGGTAAATAGACAGCTACGAAGAATATAGATGAAAACTCTCTTGGTAGATAGAGTATCTCATGATAAGCTGTAGACCACACTACCTCAGGCGAGCAAAACCTTGAGACTTCCTTAGATATCATGCACCAGCTGTTGTTTACAAATATACATAGAGCGCCACCCCTGGTCTTACCAGAGGCTGCTGTTCTATCCTGTCGATACAGTGTATAACCCTCAAGCTGTATGTTATTCATGTCGTCGTTCAGCCACGACTCGGTGAAACAGAAGATATTACAGTTTTTAATGTCCCGTTGGTAGGATATACGTTCTTGTAGTTAAGTCCACTTTATTATCAAGCGATTGTACGTTGGCCAATAGTACCGATGGCAAAGGCAGATTATCCACTCGTCGCCGGCTCCTTACCAGGCACCCCGATCTCCTTCTGCGATATCTCCATCTCTTTCTACTGCGAATGACGGGGATGAGGGCCCTGTCAGGTGTCTGGAGCAAATCCCTCTCGTCCGACTCATTAAAGAAAAACTCTTCATCCAGTTCAAGGTGAGTAATCGCTGTTTTGATGCCCAGAAGCTCTTTTTGGTCATAAGAGACGGTAGCAGCAACATTATGTACAAAATAAGTTAAACAATGCGAAATAGCAAAACAAATTAGCACGGTTGGTTAAGAGCCCTTTAAACAACAGCCATCCCCTCCAGGCTGTGTAAGGGTATGCAAAGCTGTCATCAAGGCAAAGAGTGGCTACTTTGAAGAATCTCAAATATAAAGTAGAAAATAGTAAAAATAAAGAAAAACCCTTAAATGAGTAGGTGTGTCCAAACCTTTGACTGGTACTGTATGTAAACAAGGTATGTTTATTTTTTTAAATGCTACAATTTCAAAAAAACGCTTTTTACTTTGTCAGTATGGGGTATTGTGTGTAGACTGATGAGGATTTTTGTATTTATTTAATACACTTTAGAATAAGACTAATGTAACAACATTTTGAAAAGGGGAAGGGGTCTGAATACTTTCCGAATGCACTGTATATATTTTGTCCATATCAAGAGCCTCACTGTTGTGTATGATGACTGTTGCTCCCTCAGGTTGATTCCCACTGGAAGTTGTGTGTATTTGTGTATGTGTGTGCACGCGTCTGTCTGTCTGTCTAGTCTGATGGGGGTGTATTGAGGGTCACACCCTCTAAGGTCTAGTGGTAATTCATAATCCAATGACAGTCCCAGAGCTCAGCTTCAAAGAAGAGCTGTAGAAACATCTACAGGGAGTCGTTTCTAAGTGTCGATACTGTCAGAGCTTTCAATACTGTCGATCCGGCCAGAGCCTGGGACTCAAACCAGTGATTGTATCACTAACCCAGAACCAATGTTCCCTCGCAGAGAAGCACGAGATTGAACAACATTCTAGAGTTTTCCCACTTAGTTAACATGATCAATGCTTCGCTTTACTATGGGAATTGTGATTGAATCAACGCAATATTAGCATCTTTCAATGCAACATCCCGAAACAAAACAAACTATGCAAGACTTAGTTTACAAAACTAACTATGCAAGAGATTTTGTTGTAGGCAAAACGCATCGGAGTCTGATTCTATTGCATTGACATGCAGGACTCAGCCTGTACTCTACACAGACCGGTGCGGCAACCTCCAGTAGACCTATATGCAAATAGACCATTGCCATAATGGATCAGTGCCATTCACTTTGAACTGGACTCTGTTTACAGCATGAGCGGTTACAGCATGAGGATCGTGAGTAGATGTGCTTGTTTTGAGATCAAAGCAAGAGCTGCATGTAGCCACGTGTGCACATTTGTTCATAGCCTTTGCTAGTTATTGAGTTATTAGCCCAGTTATACATACATTTGTAGTCAGCTTCTTACAAGAGCACAAAACGTGTACATTTCTAGACATCTTTGATAAGCGAGTTAGGTTTGTCTTAGTGTTGTATTTTGAGACAAGCTTGACTAACCTAAGTAGCCAATAGGCAGAGGGTAGCATAAATAGTCTGATTCTCTGTAATAATGGTATGGGAATAATAATCAATTTATTTGGTTTATTGCATCAAACAACATTTTCAGTTACCTTCTTGTCTGAAGGTCAAGCGTATAAACAGGTTAACGTCAAGCCCTGCATGTTTTTTTCAAAAGTCTCATGGAATGTAGGCCTACATTGAACATCACACATTGGCTGCTATTGTAGGCTGAACGATAGAACAGCCATTTCCATGTTAAAATGTTATGGGATGCATTTTGTTTTTGATGGTAGGCCACTCTGGTAGGCCTACATTATGATCATCCACAGTAGCCTATTTGACCACTGTCTGAAACTGTAACTTAAAGCGGGTACAGCCTCAGTGTTCACAGTAAACACTTGCTGGAAGTTGCACAGAATTTTCACAACGTTCAAGTTTGCGCTCAGCAGACCTGACATTTGCTCAGTGCCGAAAAACATTTGAGGGAACAATTTCCAGAACCTCAACGGCATACACATTATTTAGGAATGTGAGGAAGTTGCCCCTAGACTCTCAAAATCAGTCAATACTAGGCCAATAGTCCTCCAGTCCAGTCAAAAAGAAAGTAAACCTCAATGTATGGGGCCTCTGCTCCCTAAAATTGTTGTCGGTCTATCCCTCTAGAGCTCGTCCCTTAATCTCCCTGTCATCTAGTCTCTTTCCCACTGTCTTGTCTTTCCTGTTCATGATCTACTGGCCTCGCAGACAGATTAGTGAATCAGCAGCTTTGCTGGGATAGTCTATGTGGAAGTCAAGCTGCTTAACTACAGCTCAACACTAGCCTGACTGGAATGCCAGTCATAGGCCTGCACAACATGCCACAGAAGAGCCATGCTCTCTACAAGGTCTATGTGATAGCTGTAAAGGGATAGTTTATTTTTCTAAAGTACATTAAAAAAATTGTAATGATCTGAACAAGGACCTAAAATTAACTTTTTGGTCCACCAGCCACTGTGGCAAGTAGATAACAAAATCTACCAGCCGCTCAGATTTTTTACCAGCCAAAATATTTTGTCATAATTACATAACACACACAGAAAAAACAGATGACCATGCTTTGTAATGTTTCTAAAACAAAAAATATATTCGTAAGAAGTAGTGGTATATTGCTCAAGTACATACATTTTTTTTGTGACCAGAGTTTTTTTTTTAATCAGCTGCCCCTTTAAGGGTGGGCGGTTACCATGGTAACGTGGCCACTCAGTCCTGTCACCTGTGTCTGTGTGCGCATGTGACATTTGGGATATTACTAAGCTGTCTCTTCGCTATCAGTTGAAGCAGCAGAGTCAAACTAACGTTGAAAAACAAGCAAGCTTGTGAACAAAACAATGAAGAAACACGAGGACAAAGTCTCACTTTGTAGACTTTTGTGTAAATTAGACCAACTGTTATGCCTATACGCAGCGCCACCAAAAATGAATCTATCAGCACTTCACTCATTGCACACAGCTCCCCTACCAGGCAGTGTTGCTGCACATGGTGGGATATAGGATTCATATTGCTTTGTGCAATTAGCAGCTATAAAACAAAAACAGCAGAAATACACTATATACAGTACCAGTCAAAGGTTTGAACACCTACTCATTCAAGGGTTTTTGTAGAATAATAGTGTAGACAAAACTATGAAATAACACATTTGGAATCATGTAGTAACCAAAAAAGTGTTAAACAAAATTCTTCAAAGTAGCCAGCCTTTGCCTTGACAGCTTTGCACACTCTTGGCATTCTCTCAACCAGCTTCATGAGGTAGTCACCGGAATGTATTTCAATTAACAGGTGTGCCTTGTTAAAAGTTAATTTGTGGAATTTCTTTCCTTCTTAATGCATTTGAGCAAATCAGTTGTGTTGTGACAAGGTAGGGGTGGTATACAGAAGATGGTCTTTTACCAAATAGGGCTAAGTCCATATTATGGAAAGAACAGCTTAAATAAGCAAACAGAAACGGCAGTCCATCATTACTTTAAGACATGAAGGTCAGTCAATCCGGAAAATTTCAAGAACTTTGAACGTTTCTTCAAGTGCAGTTGCAAAAACCATCAAGCGGTATGATGAAACTGTCTCTCATGAGGACCGCCACAGGAAAGGAAGACCCAGAGTTACCTCTGCTGCAGAGGATAAGTTAACTAGAGTTAACAGCCTCAGAAATTGCAGCCCAAATAAATGCTTCAGAGTTCAAGTAACAGACATCTCAACATCAACTGTTCAGAGGAGACTGCGTGAATCAGGCCTTCATGGTCAAATTGCTGCAAAGAAACCACTACTAAAGGACACCAATAAGAAGAAGAGACTTGCTTGGGCCAAGAAACATGAGCAATGGATATTAGACCAGTGGAAATATGTCCTTTGGTCCGATGAGTCCAAATTTGAGATTTTTGGTTCCAACCGCCGTGTCTTTGTGAGACGCAGAGTAGGTGAACGGATGATCTCCGCATGGGTGGTTCCCACCATGAAGCATGGAGGAGGTTGTTTGATGGTGCTTTGCTGGTGACACTGTCAGTGATTTATTTAGAATTCAAGGCACACTTAACCAGCATGGCTACCACAGAATTCTGCAGCAATACACAATCCCATCTGGTTTGGGCTTAATGGGACTATCATTTGTTTTTCAACAGGACAATGACCCAACACACCTCCAGGCTGTGTAAGGGCTATTTGACCAAGAAGGAGAGTGATGGAGTGCTGTGTCAGATGACCTGGCCTCCACAATCACCCGACCTCAACCCAATTGAGATGGTTTGGGATGAGTTGGACTGCAGAGTTAAGGAAAAGCAGCCAACAAGTGCTCAGCATATGTGGGAACTCATTCAAGACTGTTGGAAAAGCATTCCATGTGAAGCTGGTTGACATAATGCCAAGAGTGTGCAAAGCTGTCATCAAGGCAAAGGGTGGCTACTTTGAAGAACCTAAAACACTTTTTTGGTTACTACATGATTCCATGTGTTATTTCATAGTTTTGATGTCTTCACTATTATTCTACAATGTAGAAAATAGTAAAAATAAAGAAAGACCCTTGAATGAGTATGTGTGTCCAAACTTTTGACTGGTACTGTATACAAAAGTATGTGGACACCCTATAAATTAGTGGATTCGGCTATTTTAGCCACACCCATTGCTGACAGGTGTATAAAATCGAGCACACAGCCATGAAATCTCCATAGGATGCCACCAACGTGGATGCCACCTTTCCAACAAGTCAGTTTGTCAAATTTCTGTCCTGCTAGAGCTGCCCCGGTCAACTGTAAGTGCTGTTATTGTGAAGTGGAAACGTCTACGAGCAACAACGGGTCAGCCGCGAAGTCATAGGCCACACAAGCTCACAGAACGGGACCGCCGCCGTTGCAACACTCACTACAGAGTTTTCAAACTGCCTCTGGAACCAATGTCAGCACAAGAACTGTTCGCCGGGAGCTTCATGAAATAGTTTTCCAAGGCCGAGCAGCGGCACACAAGCCTAAGATCACCATAAGCAATGCCAAGCATCGGCTGGCGTGGTGTAAAGTTCGCCGCCATTGGACTCTGGAGCAGTGGAAACGCGTTCTCTGGAGTGATGAATCACGCTTCACCATCTGGCAGTCCAATGGACGAATCTGGGTTTGGCGGATGCCAGGAGAACACTACCTGCCCGAATGCATAGTGCCAATTGTAAAGTTTGGTGGAGGAGCATGACAATGTCCCCGTGCACAAAGCGAGGTCCATACAGAAATGGTTTGTCAAGATCGGTGTGGAAGACCTTGACTGGCCTGCACAGACCCCTGACCTCAACTCCATCGAACACCTTTGGGATGAATTGGAACACCGACTGCGAGCCAGGCCTAATCGCCCAACATCAGTGCCCGACCTCACTAATGCTCGTGGCTGAATGGAAGCAAGTCCCTGCAGCAATGTTCCAACATCTAGTGGAAAGCCTTCCCAGAAGAGTGGAGGCTGTTATAGCAGCAAAGGGGGGACCAACTCCATATTAATGCCCATGATTTTGGAATGAGATGTTCGACGAGCATGTGTCCACATACTTTTGGTCATGTAGTGTACTTTGTAAAGGGATACTGCAGCATTTTTCTAACCCTAACTCGCACATGCTCATACTTGACTTTTGACAATTTTTATTGAGAATGTAATGCTTGCACTGTACAGCCTTGCAAATTGACCACCCCCAACGTGGCTGGTGAAATAGACATTCTTACCCGCCAATACCTAAATTGACCCGCATTTGGCGGGTGTTCATTTTATGCCCTGATCCGAACGACCTCCCTAGGGACCACGTAGCTGCATTGGCGCCCTTTCATGTCAGTGGGTCATAAACCAGCTTTAAACTTAAGGGTCTCCCTCAGTCCCTAACAACATTCAGGCTGTGTCCTAATTCCAACGGCAAATCCCTAGAATAAATCAGACAGCCTCACACATGGGCTGTCTCTTAAGTCACGCAACCACGCTTTCACAGGGGGAAACATGTGGCATTTTAGCCTCAAAACACCAGTTACCACCCTATTCCAGCCCACTAAGTTTCTCACGTCCCTCTTGCACATAAAAAGAAGAGAATTAACAATTGGGGCAAGGGTGGCAGGGCGAAAGAGCATTTTGTGCTCCAGCGAGAACATGCTACATTTAACTGCCAATCCATTAAAGGGAACAAAGGCATCGAGCTTAAAGGAAAAAATTCACCCAAAACCACTCATTCCTTTAATTTACAGAGTTAAACACTAATATGTTAGAAAAAAAAATTTGGGTGAACAAATGTTTGATTTTGGCGTTATAATAGCAACATGGAAAATCGTTGTGAAAACTGTTGCAGCTCAAGTTGACTACAAAATCCCAATGCAATGCTCTCTCTATGGGCTGGCTGGCTAGGTAGCTAATTAGCAAACGTAGCTACACACAATAATACCAAAGACAATATCAGAATGCAAAGTTGCAAGTTAGCTGTAAAATCGTGTAAACAAACGGCACTATCAATTTAGGAGTCTACAATCTCACCATGTTTAACCTCACAGAGTCGGGTCTAACATTCGCAATGGCAGATATACTTTTGAGGAGATGGGAAATGTTGCCCAAGCTACATCAATGGGCCGCGTGGTGCATTCTGGGCGATTCTGGGACAAGGAATGCTCTCCTTCAAGGAGTGAATGGGTCTATTGGGCGCCAGCGCAAAAACAAGATTAGCACGAATTTTGTCAACTAGAAGTATGACATTAGAAATATTTTCAGAGATAATTAACTTGCTATCTGTAATATCGTATAGCTTTGGAATCGTGATATTACGTACTTGAGGAAAATAGGCGATTTTCTTGACATATACACTAACAGAAGGGATTGCGTGACGTTTAGCTTAGCAACTGCGTGACGCAGCATGACAACGTGAATGTGATTGGTCGACAGTCTGCTGGGTGGGGCGTTATACGTTCCTTCATTCATTGGATTCCTATCTCCTTTCTATAATATCTCTGGCAACGGCACCATGCAATGCACCCTGGACTAAAGACAAATTCGAAAAATGTCTTAGACCTTCCGTTAAATTACACATTTTTCGAGGTAGGAATATAGCAAAGATATGATCAATGGCTCATTTGAAAGAACATCCTCCCGAGTTATGACATCGGCCAGTATTGAAATCTTATGATAGATGTTTCCGCGATCTAAAAGTTGTATTCCTATGAACTCCGACACACATGAAAACATGAAATGACCCAGGGAAATCGATAGAACATGAACAAAAAGCAATAATATTCTAAATGGGTGAACCTTTCCTTTAAGGTTTGGAGATCATCTCCCGAGACTGACTACATGCCCTGAAGCACTGAAGCCCAGCCCAGCCCTCCCCTCCCCTCCCTCCCAGAATCAGATAAATCCTTTCTTCCTCCATCTGAGGTGTGGGAATGAATACAAATAGGTCAGCAGCCCTCCCACTCCTTTAGAGCCCGGGTGGTGTGTGTGATGTGGTGGTGGGTAGAGTAGTAGTGTTGCCACGATACCAGGATCGCGATTCTAGGAAGTAAGGAAGCAAATGTAACAAAACATGAAGCAGACTAAATTTCTTGAGGAAAACACTCGTAATGTTGGAAAAACAGCCTTATGTTGTCGCCCAATGTTTATTTTGCAAGCTATAGCACACAATATTTTACATAAAGTAGGTTTTAAAGGACCATAGAGTTTAGTCTGCTTCGTGTTTTCTTTTTTGCCAAGGAAAATCTAGTAGGCTTGTTACGATACCAACATTTTACAAACTATACGATACCAGGCCAAGTAACACAATACCGATGAGTATCGCGATACCACGTGGGAAAAAAAAATCTGTGGCCTAGCATCCTGTTCGCTCAGTCCCTCGCACGCTTGTTCATGTTTTTTAAATGTTCTCCAAAAAACCTGTCACTGAAATTCACACTTCTACTCAATACAACACATTGAATTTAACGTCACACTGTTCAGTGCATAATAGAATACTGCATAGAATGGCTGATTTGCTCATATTTTCAAAGGCCTACTTGTGATTTGGCTGGAGGAATGAAAATACATCAGTGGAGGCTGCTGAAGGGAGGACGGCTCATAATTATGGCTGGAGCGGCGCAAATGGAATGGCATCAAACACATAGAAACCATGTGTTTGATACCATTCCGCACCAGCCATCACAACAAGCCCATCCTCCCCAATTAAGGTACCACCAACCTCCTGTGATATACATGCATAATGATCTGCATGTCATTGTGTCAGTAAGGGGAAAACACTGCATGAAACCTTCTTTACTCTTCAGTTAACACAGACACTCTCCCTCCCTTCCTTACACACACGCTCCGTATCCCTCACTCTCATAAAACACACACACACCACTCTCTCCCACAAACACACACTGCTCCCAACTTTTAAAATGTTAGGCACCAAACAGAATTTAAAGACCACCAGTAATGTATGTTTTATATAGTTTAGGCTTACATTAGGCCTCTATGAATCATACCTTTTTTCTCATGAGTAGCAGACCCTTTTCCTTTCTTCCTGTGCCAATCAAATTTGCCTAAACCTACTGTCAAGTTACCAGGTTGTTAGCTAGCTAGGTAATAATTAACGACCCGTGATTAGTTTAAAACAGCCCGTGACATGGTTTGTGAAATGATATAAAATGTGCACAAATCCCGATAGAAAAAAAAAAAGGCATCTCTGGTAATATGGGTCATATTTTAACCGTTTAGACTAAAGACAAGACCTCTGGTAATATGGGTCATATTTTAACCATTTAGACTAGAGACAAGACCTCTGGTAATATGGGTCATATTTTAACCGTTTAGACTAGAGACAAGACCTCTGGTAATATGGGTCATATTGAACCGTTTAGACTACAGACAAGACATTTTCTTTGCTGTAAAGCTGCAAGCATTCCAGTCAGGAAGCGGTGCTCCATGTTCACTCGCTGACACTCAGCGGCTACATGACAGTGAACTTGCAAAGTCTACTCAGACTGGTCTGTACTCTTGGTTATAACAGGCGATGAAATGATACAATGTATCAATATTGCTCGCGTTGCGCGCTGCTCCAATGTAACAAATGTACAAATCTAACAGAAGCCTCATCAGGGTCTGCATCCCCGCTTGCCATCACAGCTAAATTATATATATTTTTTAACTGACAGAGGAATAGACGCACGTGAAGAGCAGACAGAGAAGCAGGTGAGTGAAGGATGGTAGGGGATGCAGCTGGCTGATTACAGCTGCATGAAAGTGAAGTGGATATTATTGGACCCGCGCATACAAGAGACTAGTGGCTGTTGCTTAAATTCAACTGAATTTACAAACAAAACTGACTTTATAAACAGTTTATAAACAGGCGCCAGCAGATACTTTAGATCGGTAGGGCTGAAAAGGTCGGTAGCATCATAAGACACGGTACTACGGTATTCTAAAATGTTGGTATCATAACTATCATGACATTTTTGGTACCTTGATATTACAGTGGTACCGGTATACCGTGCAACACTCAAATCTGGTATTGTAGTATCGCGATACTGGTATCGTGACAACACTAGCGTACAGTCACCAAGCCTGCAGCTATCCATCAGACCATACAGAGGAAACAGCCCTGCCCCCCTCAGTAGCCCCCACCAGCCTCTTCCTACTGGAGCAGATGCGAAAGAGCGATAGCAGAGCAAGAGAGATCGGGAGCGAGGGAGAGGAAGCGTGTGGGGGCAGATATGAGATAAGCGAGGCTGAGAGAGAGCACCGTGGATGGAGAGAATGCAGCTCTGGTGCTCTACACACACACACAGGCACCAAGAGCCAGTGTGCTCAAGTGAATTTGACAAAGAGTAATATTTAAAACCAAGGGAGGGATCCCTCTGCGCGTGTGGGTGCGTTCGCAGCAAGATGCATTGAAAAACATGGCAGAGAAGGACAAACGGGATCCATAGAAGCAGTCACACCGTGATTGGGCCAACCACACAGTGAGAGAAGAGCAGCGATAAAACTAACCGTGCGACGGAGCTGAGAGCTAAGCTAAGGTGTGTGGTGGACAGGGAGAAGAGGACATAGATACACCATTGAAGCTGGTAGCAGCACTGGGCAGAGTCATGGGTAGGTTGTTGTGCCCTAGTTGATGAGATGAGGGGAGCAAGCCCTCCGTCCTGCCCTGAAACGACATGCACTGGGGAACAGGTATGTCTTCTGGTCGGCGTGCTTAATTACAGCTCCAAAACACACACACACGTCACTCTTACAAGAGTGTATTGGTAGTAAAAGCTGCCATGTACACACTGTGATGCATAGTTACTGGCTGTTAGGATGGAATGTATAGCATTGAGAGCTAGTTTTTGTTTAGAACCTGATAGCACATTGGGGTGTGTGTGTGTGTGTGTGTAATGTTTCTTGGCATTCCTGAGGATGCCCTCCATGAGGGATTTGGCTTTTCAACACTTTTTGTGCGCTCTCACAAACAACCCTTTGTCTGGGGGGGGGGGGGGGGGTATTTTAAGAGGGCAGCATGTAATCTAGTCGAATGTGAGAGAACCCACACCACTCCAGGGGACTAGTTGCCCAAAAATGTGAAAACAGTGCAGTGCTTTCACAGCAATCTAAATAGAACATACATTCTTTCAGTTAGCTTGGGTTGCTGTGCCAAATGTGCCCACTTCTTGCTTACACCTTATCTAAGTATAATTTCCTCCAATTGTCTAAAGGTACAATTGAGGACAGAGAAGATCCTCATAGTTAACTTATTTAGTCCACCCATCTATTAGAGAGTAACCTCAATAGGGGCGGTTTAATACAAGGAAATGTAAGATTTGCTAAGACGTGAATTCGCTCTAACAGGATGTTGTTGGTTTCATCTTCATAACACATCTAAAAGTGAGGGTTTAAAATACTGATACACATGTAATACAAGTACAGTGGGGGAAAAAAGTATTTAGTCAGCCACCAATTGTGCAAGTTCTCCCACTTAAAAAGATGAGAGGCCTGTAATTTTCATCATAGGTACACGTCAACTATGACAGACAAAATGAGAATTTTTTTTCCAGAAAATCACATTGTAGGATTTTTAATGAATTTATTTGCAAAGTATGGTGGAAAATAAGTATTTGGTCAATAACAAAAGTTTCTCAATACTTTGTTATATACCCTTTGTTGGCAATGACACAGGTCAAACGTTTTCTGTAAGTCTTCACAAGGTTTTCATACACTGTTGCTGGTATTTTGGCCCATTCCTCCATGCAGATCTTCTCTAGAGCAGTGATGTTTTGGGGCTGTCGCTGGGCAACACAGACTTTCAACTCCCTCCAAAGATTTTCTATGGGGTTGAGATCTGGAGACTGGCTAGGCCACTCCAGGACCTTGAAATGCTTCTTACGAAGCCACTCCTTCGTTGCCCGGGCGGTGTGTTTGGGATCATTGTCATGCTGAAAGACCCAGCCATGTTTCATCTTCAATGCCCTTGCTGATGGAAGGAGGTTTTCACTCAAAATCTCACGATACATGGCCCCATTCATTCTTTCCTTTACACGGATCAGTCGTCCTGGTCCCTTTGCAGAAAAACAGCCCCAAAGCATGATGTTTCCACCCCCATGCTTCACAGTAGGTATGGTGTTCTTTGGATGCAACTCAGCATTCTTTGTCCTCCAAACACGACGAGTTGAGTTTTTACCAAAAAGTTTTATTTTGGTTTCATCTGACCATATGACATTCTCCCAATCCTCTTCTGGATCATCCAAATGCACTCTAGCAAACTTCAGACGGGCCTGGACATGTACTGGCTTAAGCAGGGGAACACGTCTCGCACTGCAGGATTTGAGTCCCTGGCGGCGTATGCTTTGTTACTTTGGTCCCAGCTCTCTGCAGGTCATTCACTAGGTCCCCCCGTGTGGTTCTGGGATTTTTGCTCACCGTTCTTGTGATCATTTTGACCCCACGGGGTGAGATCTTGCGTGGAGCCCCAGATCGAGGGAGATTATCAGTGGTCTTGTATGTCTTCCATTTCCTAATAATTGCTCCCACAGTTGATTTCTTCAAACCAAGCTGCTTACCTATTGCAGATTCAGTGTTCCCAGCCTGGTGCAGGTCTACAATTTTGTTTCTGGTGTCCTTTGACAGCTCTTTGGTCTTGGCCATAGTGGAGTTTGGAGTGTGACTGACTGAGGTTGTGGACAGGTGTCTTTTATACTGATAACAAGTTCAAACAGGTGCCATTAATACAGGTAATGAGTGGAGGACAGAGGAGCCTCTTAAAGAAGAAGTTACAGGTCTGTGAGAGCCAGAAATCTTGCTTGTTTGTAGGTGACCAAATACTTATTTTCCACCATAATTTGCAAATAAATTCATTAAAAATCCTACAATGTGATTTTCTGGATTTTTTTCTCTCAATTTGTCTGTCATAGTTGACGTGTACCTATGATGAAAATTACAGGCCTCTCTCATATTTTTAAGTGGGAGAACTTGCGCAATTGGTGGCTGACTAAATACTTTTTTCCCCCACTGTATTTGGACATCTTTGGACGCAAAAAAACATGTATTTATATTGGACAAAAATATATCAACGCAACATGTAGTGTAAAAATGGTATCCACAAGTTCATCTGACTCTGGGGAAGTAGATAAAGGGCCTCATTGACAAAATCCCAAAGTATCCCTTTAAGGTCTTAAGACAGTATTGTGCCGCTTAATTGTTGCCACCACGGCAAAAAAGAAACCACTGTTGTGGTGGATGAGAGAGAGTTGAAATGCATCTACAACTGTCTTTTCTCTCTGTCAAAGACCAGACACTTTCACACCCAGCCAGGTTTCACACTCGGACAGTTTTACATACACTGAGTGTACAAAGCATTAGGAACACCTTCCCAATATTGAGTTGCAGGCCTTTTTGCCCTCAGAACAGCCTCAATTCGTTGGGGCATGCACTTAACAATGTGTCGAAAGCGTTCCACAGGGATGCTGGCCCATGTTGACTAATGTTTCCTACAGTTGTGTCAAGATGGCTGGATGTCCTTTGGGTGGTGAAACCATTCATGATACACATGGGAAACTTGAGCGTGAAAAACAGAGCAGCATTACAGTTCTTGACACACTCAACCCAGTGCGCCTGGCACCTACTACCATACCCGCTCCAAAGGCACTTAAATATTTTGTCTTGCCCATTCACCCTCTGAATGGCACACATACACAATCCATTTCTCAAGTGTCCCAAGGCTTAAAAATCCTTCTTTAACCAGTCTTCTCTTTATCTACACTGATTGAAGTGGATTTAACAGGTGACATCAATAAGGGATCATAGGATTCACCTGGTCAGTCTCATGGAAAAAGCAGGTGTTCCTAATGTTTTGTAAACTCTGTAGTGTGAATGATAGTTACTGTACCAACAACTCTCTCAGAAAGCAGGGGAGGCTCATTAGCCAGTCTAAATGACACTTAACAGGGCTCATATGCTTTGAAGAGTATACTTCAGTTAATTCAACACTAGTCGATGAATGATTGACAGTGCATTCGGAAAGTATTCAGACCCCTTGACTTTATCAAATTTTTGTTACGTTACAGTCTTATTCTAAAATTGATTAAATATATTTTTCATCAATCTACACACAATAGCCCATAATGACAAAGCAAAAAACTTTGGTTTTGTGTGCAAATTTATAAAAAATTAAAACAGAAAAACCTTATTTACGTAAGTATTCAGACCCTTTGCTATGAGACTTGAAATTGAGCTCAGGTGCATCCTGTTTCCATTGATCATCATTGAGATGTTTCCACAACTTGATTGGAGTCCACCTGTGATAAATTCAATTGATTGGACATGATTTGGAAAGGCACACACCTGTCTATATAAGGTCCCACAGTTGACAGTACATGTCATTGCAAAAACCAAGCCATGAGGTCAAAGGAATTGTCCGTAGAGCTCCAAGACAGGATTGTGTCGAGGCACAGATCTGGGAAAGGGTACAAAAACATTTCTCCAGCATTGAAGGTCCAAGAACACAGTGGCCTCTATCATTCTTTAAAAAGTTGGAACCACCAAGACTCCTCCTAGAGCTAGCTGCCTGGCCAAACTGAGCAATCGGGGGAGAAGGGCCTTGGTCAGGGAGGTGACCAAGAACCCGATGATCACTCTGACAGAGCTCCAGAGTTCCTCTGTGGAGATGTGAGAACCTTCCAGAAGGACAACCATCTCTGCAGCACTCCACAAATCAGGCCTTTATGGTAGAGTGGCCAGATGGAAGCCACTCCTGAGTAAAAAGGCACGACAGCCTGCTTGGAGTTTGCCAAAAGGCACCAAAAGACTCTCAGACCATGAGAAACAACATTCTCTGGCCTGATGAAACCAAGATTGCTTTTTGGCCTGAATGCCAAGCTTCACGTCTGGAGGAAACCTGGCACCATCCCTACGATGAACCTTCGCCCCCTCAGACTGGGGCAAAGGTTCACCTTCCAACAGGACACCGACCCTAAGCACACAGCCAAGACAACGCAGGAGTGCCTGCGGGACAAGTCTTTGAATTTCCTTGAGTGGCCCAGCCAGAGCCCGGACTTGAACACGATCAAACATCTCTGGAGAGACCTGAAAATAGCTGTGCAGCAACGCTCCCCATCCAACCTGACAGAGCTTGAGAGGATCTGCAGAGAAGAATAGGAGAAACTCCCCAAATACAGGTGTTCCAAGCTTGTAGCATGACACCCAAGAAGATTCAAGGCTGTAATCGCTGCCCATGGTGCTTCAACAAAGTACTCAGTAAAGGGTCTGAATACTTATGTAAATAAGATGCTTTATACATTTGCTAACATTTCTAAAAACTGTTTTTGCTTTGTCATTATGGGGTATTGTGTGTAGTTTGGGGGGGGTGGGGGGGGGAATTTAATCCACTTTAGAAGTAAAGGGGTCTGAATACTTTCCAAATGCACCAAGCGTTTGATGGTTTTAACTTGTGCTAACATCATCACTGTTGTTTTTCCTCCTAGATAAAAATGTCGGCCTCTGCTGAAGACTGCACTTCATCCCTGAGCATGAACCTGGTTGAAACATACGGGTAGGTTTGACCACTGACCAACAATTCAGTGACTTGGATGGTACGGTACAGTGCTGCATGCACCAGCTCTGGTGTAGATCCCTCAGGAGCCCCCCCCCCCCCCGACTAATTACTCCATAATCAGCGATAAAAGTTTGGTGTTACCGCTGCCCGAGTGAGGTGGTGCACGTAGCCACCATGCAGTGGAGGCGGCGCCACTGTTGCACGCACGTTGCCGGCCTATTGTCTCTCCTCTCACTCCTGGTCATCCTGGGCCATCAGGACTGGCTGCCGGGCCTCAAGGGACCAACATGGCAGAGGGAGCACCCAGTGGCTTATGCCGGAGGAGGACTACGCTCCAAAGGGAATCACAGCTCCTCACAGATTCTATGGAGGGATGCACCGGTTCCCCCTGCGCCTCCGAAAATGAAAGCCAACCTCAGTTTCCCTCAGAACTCCTCCTCACCGCAGGGGGTTACGGGACTGGAGAACTCTGTGGCGGCTAATGCTAGCTTGAGCGGAGAGGTCAGGCTAAGGGGCCTGCTGACCTCAGAGCCATACCCTTACATCATCAACGAGCCCGACAAGTGCCGGGAGGGCAACCCAGTGCCCTTCCTGGTGCTGCTGATAGCCACGGAGGCCCAGCAGGTGGAGGCCAGGGAGACCATTCGGCAGACCTGGGGGAACGAGAGCATTGCCCCGGGCCTAGGCTTTGTTCGCCTCTTCCTGCTGGGTGTGAAGGAGGGCAGGGTGGGTCGCCTGCAGCAGAGCAGCCTGGAGGCCGAGAGCCGGAGGCACCGTGACATCATCCAGCAGGATTACATGGACACTTACAACAACCTGACCATCAAAACCCTGATGGGCATGCACTGGGTGTCAGCGCACTGCCCGGGCACCAAATACGTCATGAAGACAGACAGTGACATGTTTGTCAACACAGAGTATCTCGTCCACAAGCTGCTCCGGCCAGAGATGCAGCCCAAACTGGACTACTTTACGGGCTACCTGATGAGGGGCTATGCACCCAACAGAAACAAGAATAGCAAGTGGTACATGTCCCCAGAGCTGTACCCCAGCGAGAGGTACCCCACTTTCTGCTCGGGAACGGGCTATGTGTTCTCGGGGGACCTGGCGGGGAAGATCTACAGGGCCTCTCTAGGCATCCGCAGGCTGCATCTGGAGGACGTTTACGTGGGCATCTGCCTGGCCAAGCTGCGGATCGAACCCACGCCACCGCCTAACGAGTTCCTGTTCAACCACTGGCGGGTGTCCTACTCCAGCTGCAAGTACAGCCACCTTATAACCTCCCACCAGTTTCACCCCAACGAACTGCTCAAGTACTGGCACCACCTGCAGAGCAACAAGCACAACGCCTGCATCAACACATCCAAAGACAAGGTGGGCAGGTTTCGCCAGAGGAAACTGCAGGGGGTACAGCCTATTTGGTGACAGAGGGTCGAGTGTGATGTTAAGTCATGGCCTGTGCAGGAGTCACTCGGCAAGAGGTGACCGATTCAAGCCCATGTTTTTGGACAAACTAATGGTTGAGGGCCGTCTTTTTTTTTGTACTACAGGTCATATTTTTTGATTCATTAATTGATTGAAAGAATATATGCATCGGTGTACAGAGGAAGACATTACTTGTGTGTGAAATGTGGATGTTGTTTATTATAAGGATAAATATTCACCTGTTGGTGGACTGTCACTGTCTGGTATCCATTTTGTTCAACTTGAGTTTAAATACTTTTCCTTAAGGTTGAATCGAATTAGCATAATAAAAAATACCCATACAAATCTGTCAGTTTCAGCTAGAGATGTTTTTTTTGTGTGCATTGGATGCAGCTCAATCCGCCGCATCTGCGGTGAAAGGTGACAGAGCGGTGTTTGTCAGACTGAGAAAAATCGGTCTTCTCACAAAATCGTTTGTAGCGTCCGAACGGTTTGGCCTACAAACTATTATGACCCCTCTATGGAAAGATCACTCTCACGAACAGGATGGTGTTCTCGGTTTTGCTCTACGACCCCCACAATCGTCTTGGGAGTCGTCTGAAGTCGGTACAGCTGATCTGCCAACTTCAGTCTGTAGCGTACGAACAGTTTGGGCTACACACGAATATGACCCCTCTGGGCAAAGGTGAGACTGACACGTACAGTACCAGTCAAAAGTTTGAACACACCTACTCATTCAAGAGTTTCTCTTTATTTTTACTATTTTCTACATTGTAGAAAATTTGTGAAGACATCAAAACTATGAAATAATACATATGGATATAATTTTTAGATTCTTCAAAGTAGCCACCCTTTAACTTGATGACAGCTTTGCACACTCTTGGCATTCTCTCAACCAGCTTCACCTGGAATGCTTTTCCAACAGTCTTGAAGGAGTTCCCACACATGTTGAGCACTTGTTGGCTGCTTTTCCTTAACTCTGCAGTCCAACTCGTCCCAAACCATCTCAATTGGGTTGAGGTCGGGTGATTGTGGAGGCCAGGTCATCTGATGAAGCATTCCATCACTCTTCTTCTTGGTCAAATAGCCCTTACACAGCCTTGAGGTGTGTTATGGGTCATTGTCCATTTGAAAAACAAAATGACAGTCCCACTAAGCCCAAACCAGAGGTGATGGCGTATCGCTGCAGAATGATGTGGTAGCCATGCTGGTTAAGTGCGTCTTCAAATTCTAAATAAATTCACTGACAGTGTCACCAGCAAAGCACCTCCACACCATCACGCCTCCTCCTCCATGCTTAACGTTCACCTACTCTGTCTCACAAAAAAATCTCCAATTTGGACTCCAGACCAAAAGGACAAATTTCCACCGGTCTAATGGCCATTGCTCGTGTTTCTTGGCGCAAGCAAGTCTCTTCTTATTATTGGTGTCCTTTAGTAGTGGTTTCTAAGCAGCAATTCGACCACGAAGGCCTGATTCACGCAGTCTCCTCTGAACAGTTGATGTTGAGATGTGTCTGTTACTTGAACTCTGTGAAGCATTTATTTGGGCTGCAATTTGAGGCTGGTAACTCTAATGAACTTATCCTCTGCAGCAGAGGTAACTCTGGCGGTCCTCATGAGAGACAGTTTCATCATAGAACTTGATGGTTTTTGCGACTGCACTTGAAGAAACTTTCAAAGTTCTTGAAATGTTCCGCATTGACTGACCTTCATGTCTTAAAGTAATGATGGACTTTAGTTTCTCTTTGCTTATTTGAGCTGTTCCTGCCATAATATGGACTTGGTCTTTTACCAAATAGGGCCATCTTCTGTATACCAAACCCTACCTTGTCACACCACAACTGACTGGCTCAAACATATTAAGGAAAGAAATTCCACAAATTAACAAGGCACAACTGTTAATTGAAATGGATTCCATGTGACTACCTAATGAAGCTGGTTGAGAGAATGCCAAGAGTGTGCAAAGCTGTCATCAAGGCAAAGGGTGGCTATTTGAAAAATCTAAAAAAAAAAAAAAAAAACTTTTGGTTACTACATGATTCCATGTGTTATTTCATAGTTTTGATGTCTTCACTATTATTCAACAATGTAGAAAATTTTACAAATAAAAGAAAAACCTTTGAATGAGTAGGCGTGTCCAAACTTTTGAGTGGTACTGTAAATGTTCGTCCCATGTTTCATGAGCTGAATTCTTTTTTTCTTCCCAGAAATGTTCCATATGTACACAAAACTTTTGTGCATGATTTTCTTTACATCCCTGTAGTGAGCGTTTATACTTTGCCAATATAATCCAGCCACCTGACATGTGTGGCATATCAAGAAGCTGATTAATTACACAGGTGCACCTTGTGCTGGGGACGATAAAAGGCCACTCTAAAATGTGCAGTTTTGTTACACAATACAATGCCACAGATTGTCTCAAGTTGAGGGAGCATGCAATTGGCATGCTGCCTGCAGGAATGTCCATCAGAGTTGTTGCCAGAGAATTGAATGTTAATTTCTCTATCATAAACTGCCTCCAACGTCGCTTTAGATAATTTGGCAATGCGTCCAACCGGCCTCAAAACAGCAGACCACGCGTAACCAGCCCAGGTCCTCCACATCCGGCTTCTTCACCTGCAGGATCGTCTGGGGGAGGCCTAATTTATTTATTTCAATTGACTGATTTCCTTATATGAAATGTAACTAAGTAAAACCTTTGAAGTTGTTACGTTACGTTTATATGTTTTGTGCATTCGGACAGTATTCAGACCTCTTGACTTTTTCCACGTTTTGTTATGTTACAGCCTTATTATAAAATGGATTAAATTGTTATTTTTTCCCTCATCAATCTATACACAATACCACACGGCGATATACATTTACATAAGTAATCAGACCCTTCACTCAGTACTTTGTTGAAGCATCTTTGCCAGCGATTACAGCCTCGAGTCTTCTTGGGTATGACACTACAAGCTTGGCACACCTGTATTTGGGGAGTTTCTCCCATTCTTCTCTGCAGATCCTCTCAAGCTCTGTCAGGTTGGATGGGGAGCATCGCTGCACAGCTGTTTTCAGATCTCTCCAGAGATGTACGATCAAGTTCAAGTCCTGGCTCTGGCTGTGCCACTCAAGGACAGTCAGAGACTTGTCCCGAAGCCACTCCTGCGTTGTCTTGGCTGCGTGCTTAGGGTTGTTGTCCTGTTGGAAGGTGAATCTTCACCCTGGTCTGAGGTCCTGAGCACTCTGGAGCAGGTTTTCATCAAGGATCTCTCTGTACTTTGCTCCATTCATCTTTCCCTCGATCCTGACTAGTCTCCCAGTCCCTGCCGCTGAAAAACATCCCCACAGCAGGATGCTGCCGTCACCATACTTCACCGTAGGGATGTTGCCAGGTTTCCTCCAGACGTGACGCTTGGCATTCAGGCCAAAGAGTTCAATCTTGGTTTCATCAGACAAGAAAATCTGGTTTCTCATGGTCTGAGAGTCTTTAGGTGCAATTTGGCTGTCATGTGCCTTTTACTGAGGAGTGGCTTCCGTCTGGCCACTACCATAAAGGCCTGATTGGTGGAGTGCTGCAGAGATGGTTGTCCTTCTGGAAGATTCTCCCATCTCCACAGAGGAACTCTTTAGCTCTGTCAGGTGACCATCGGGTTCTTGGTCACATCCCTGACCAAGGCCCTTCTCCCCCGATTGCTCAGTTTGGCCAGGCAGCCAGCTCTAGGAAGGAGTCTTGGAGGTTCCAAACTTCTTACATTTAAGAATGATGTAGGCCACTGTGTTCTTGGGGAACTTCAATGCTGCAGAAATGTTTGGTACGCTTCCCCAGATCTGTGCCTCGACACAATCCTGTCTCAAAGCTCTACGGACAGTTCCTTTGACCTCATGGCTTGGTTTTTTCTCTGACATGCACTGTCAACTGTGGGACCTTATAGACAGGTGTGTGCCTTTCCAAATCATGTCCAATCAATTGAATTTACCACAGGTGGACTCCAATTAAGCTGTAGAAACATCAAGGATGATAAAAAAAACAGGATGCACCTGAGCTCAACTTTGTGTCTCATAGCAAAGGGTCTGAATACTTTTAAGATGTCTGTTCCTTATTTTTAATAAATTTGCAACAATTTCTAAAAATGTTTTCACTTTGTCATTATGGGATATTGTGTCTTATTATTGATGAGGAAAAAATATAATTTAATCAATTGTAGAATAAGGCTGTAACGTCACAAAATCTGGAAAAGGGGAAGGGGTCTGAATACTTTCTGAATGCACTGTATATGGAGACCATTTACTGCCAAAAATAAGGGGTTAAATACATGTTTTTTTTAAAAAAAGATGCTTCCTGATTTTTCTCATATATAGGACAGACTACAGAACAAACTTCCTTTAGATTTTTTGGGGGGGACTATCTGTTGTTCCATGCGTTTGTATGGGCTAAGATCAGTAATACATTTATTTTCTTTATACTTCAAGGGGTCTTATAATTCAAAATAAAATAGCAAAATGATCTTTAGTATGACCTTCTTAAAACAATTCCATATAGCTTAGTAGTAAAAAATAAATAAAAGTGTACAGTATCAAAACCAAAAGGAACATTGAATCATTTCACAAGTACCAGTTGATCTACATGAATTATGAAGGGCAGGAAATCTGCAAGAGGGAACGTGGGTGAAAGAGGAAGCCGATATGGGTGGTACACTACAAACCACAAGTGGTAAAATAAATTTAATAAGGTTAGACATTTTTCAGCTATTTCCAGAGGAAAATAATGAAACCTCCCTGTTCAATGCTCAGCCCAATGATTGATGACAAATCAATACATCTTGTGAGATACTGAGAGCACCCCATCCCTGACAATCAGCTAAGCAGAGAGGAGCCTAACTAGATTGACATTTAATCATTCTTACCAAAAGGTGTCCATAGTACTGTGGTAACTTCAAGGGTGTAGCCAACATTGGTGTGAAATGTGTTTCTAGATTACCATGTATAATAGTGAAGAAACAGAACACCAACATTCTACAGTTCAGTTGTTACATAGCTATTAATTGATACATAGCTACAACTACATTGTGCATACTATAACAAATAACTGAAAACACAATGTTGTAATAGAATGGAATGCACTGAAAATATATATTGACTATCAAGTTCAGCCTTGACAGAAATGTTGCAAAAAAGTTCAGCATAGTTAAGTCCTACGCATAAGACTCCAAAGGATGCTTTGACTTTATAGTTCCTGCTTTCCTTCAAGAAGGAATTGTACAGTTCCTTCTTCCATCATGTAATTCAGAGTAATTGTATTCCGCTTTGTGAATTAACCTTCTTCAGAAGCATTGATGAAAATTAAGCTTTGAGATAAACTAAAAACAGCAGCAACGGCAAAGTACAATTTTCAGTATTCAATTTCAGAATGATAAAGTTGGTAGACACACTAAAATGAGACCACTGCAGTGTGTGTATGAGGAAGACAAAAGCAGCTTGACCTTCCCAGGTTTGCCCATTTGCAGAGACGTCGCTGAGCCATGACTCATTCCCCTGTCCTCTGTGGTTCCCTACAACCAGTACCTGCAGCCCAATCTCATTATAGACTGGGCAGCCTCTGGACACAGATCACAGGACCCAAAGACCTGTCACCACGGAGGTGCAGTGAGTGAACATTACACTTCAATGAGCTGGGCACAGCACAACAATATACCTCAAGCTTTGGGTAATAAGTTAGTCACGGAAGCCGATCAGAAGAACATGAACTCTATTACAACAGTAGAGTAGGAACTGGACTTCCAAGTGTTTAACTGATTTGCACCTGTTATTCTCCAAGGTATGTAATAGTTCAAAACCACAGTACGAAACCACAGTATGAAAAAATGTATGCACTCACTAACTGTAAGTCGCTCTGGATAAGTATGATTTTCAAAACCCCGAAAATTATTTTATTTTTTATACTTAACAGAAATATAAATGGAACAATTTTAAAGATTCTGAGTTACAGTTCATAAGGAAATCAGTCATTTTAAAATAAATTCATTAGGCCCTAATCTATGGATATCACATGACTGGGAATACAGATCTGCATCTGTTGGTCACAGACACCTTTAAAAATAAGATAGGGGCGTGGATCAGAAAACCAGTCAGTATCTGGTGTGACCACCATTTGCCTCATGCAGCGCGACAACTCCTTCACATAGAGTTGATCAGTCTGTTGATTGTGGCCTGTGGAATGGTTGTCCCACTCCTCTTCAATGGCTGTGCAAAGTTGGTGGATATTGGCAGGAACTGGAACACGTGAGCATGCAGATGAGATTCCCTGAGACGGTCTCTGACAGTTTGTGCAGAAATTCATCAGTTGTGCAAACCCACAGTTTCATGAGCTGTCCGGGTAGCTGGTCACAGACGTTCCCGCAGGTGAAGAAGCCGGATTTTGAGGTCCTGGGCTGGTGTGGTTACACGTGGTCTACGGTAGTGAGGCCGGTTGGATGTACTGCCAAATTCTCTAAAACAACTTTGAAAATAACATTAAATTCTCTGGCAACAGCTCTGGTGAACATTCCTGCAGTCAGCATGCCAATTGCACGTGCCCTAAAAACTTGTGACTTTGTGGTGTTGTGTGACAAAACTGCACATTTCAGTGTCCTTTTGTCCCCAGCACAAGGTGCACCTGTGTAATGATCATGCTGTTTATTCAGCTTCTTAATATGCAACACCTGTCAGGTGGATGGATTATCTTGGCAAAGGAAAAATGCTCACTAACCGGGATGTAAAGAAATTTGTGCACAAAATATGAGAGAACTAAGCTTTTTGTGCATATGGAACACTCCTGGGATATTTTATTTCAGCTCATGAAAACATTGGACCAACACTTTACATGTTGCATTTATATTTTTGTTCAGTGTAAATAAATACCTGCAGTCAACAATGTGCAGTAGGTTAATAGATAAAGCAAATTGCGTTCTTCTCTCCAGCTCAATGATTCACAGATATGCATCGATCCCAGGTTCAAATGTTTAAGATACTAGTGCATCGGTCCATGGGAGCTCATATTGTTTTATTCCAAAAATACCTCATCTGTTTTGGCTGAATTGATGCGTTATCTCCTTCATTTCAGTAGCCTATCAAACTGTTATGCATGTAACTGCGTACGACTGTCAGATAAGTGTGCAGTGAGAGTGACAGCTGCTTGCGCCAACGAGAGATAGGCCTTATCTCTCTTCTAATAGGCTATTCATACATCTGCACAGCACCTTCAGCATTCAAATGCTTGTAAAATGGCTTCCACACTGTCAAAACATAGGCTTTATTAGTGAAATGACAACCAATGTAGAGAATGGTGTTTTACCGGAGTGGACAACTCACATCCAACTGCTGATTGGGGTTTTCAAACATTCAGAATTTATTTAGATTCAGGTTCACCATAATAAATAGTTTTGCTTTAAAACAGTCAGTGTATTGTGATTTTTACATGAACAGGGTCCTTTCATCAAGGACAGCAACATTTAAAAAAAAGTTGCATAGACATGGTCGCATTGTTCCAGGGGTGTAACGGTACACGTATTAGTACAGAACCGTTCGGCAAAGGGACCTCGGTTTGGCCCGCCTGCGAACTCGAATGAATACATCAAAAATATATATTTTGTTCTGTACGATGACGAGTGGTGGGGTCGATAGCTTCACAGTTGATTACAATGACGATGGACAAAGTTTTGGATAAAAACGTTAACAGTATGTCGCCACTGCTCAATGAGAATAGCCGATGTAGAGTGGCGCATGTAGCTTGTTGTTGGCTAATCACAAGTCATCAACGCGGCACTACGATCATAGAGCCTCCGTGTGTGGCAAAGCAAGTAAAGAGATTATCTAGTCAAATGGAAGATAGGGCTGGGCGACATGGACAAAATATATCACAATATTTGACGGTATTTGATGTTTTTGAATAATAAAAGTTTTAAATATGCTTTATGAGTAGTTCATGACCCTAGGGTGGCAACACAAATAAGTGATTTCAAAATGGGGCTTTCTACATTTATACTGTTCAATAAAACTCCAAACAAAAAATATTTTTCAGCATTTTGACCAATTTCTACATTTCCTGCACTTTTATCATCATTTCCACACTGTAACACACAGCATGATATGGGCAGAAAAATATAGGCTTAGTTAATTGGTGAACTGTTGGAATCATGGAAATATAATGATTATTCTAATTCTATCATTGGAATATAGTGGGCAGCACCTTGAATACATTGTTGTTTGACATGACAACTAAGTAATAAACCAGTGAGGAATTATTGAGAGGGTAGGACCCAAAGTGTTGGTCAGTGTTTCCAGGTGACCCTAATTAGATGTTACATTACATGTTGTTTTCTTACTTCATGTAGCTTGCCAGTCAACATAATCATGCTTCGGCTATTCCTCTCTGGTAAGATACCATTGCACAAACATGTGTATCTAGGCCTATACCAGCACCAGGCAGTATTAGCTAGCTAGCTAGCTAGCTAGCTAGATCTGACTCTTACTACATTTAGCAAACTACATAGCTACTAATCGCTAGTTAGCTGGCTAACAAAAATGATTTTAGCAACACCTTGCTAAGAAAATACAAACTAGCAGATAGTAGTTTGCAGACAGTAAGATACAAACTAAGTGTATAGAACGTTTGTGGAAAGCAGCATGTCACCAACATTGTTGCATCCATCTGACCATGCAGAGTGAACGGCAAGAAAGTGCTCGTGACGCCATGGTCGAGCAACTGCTCCTCCTTGAGTGACAGGGGGCAGGACTTGGGTGTGGTCAGCAGCATGCAGCAGCAGGAGGAGAGCGAGAGAGACGACTCAAGTGGCAAAACTATAAAAACTGACATACGTGCCGGAGTTGCGTATAACATTTACAAAACTAATATTGAAATACCGTTACAGAAGGTAAAGTAAAAAGTCAAACCGGTCTGTGCATCAATACAGGTATATAGTAAAATATGGTATACCGCCCAGACCTAATGGAAGATGGAATTATAAAAGTTAAAAGGTGCAATACACAGAAATTGCTTGGACCATTTCCTGGATGCTAAAATTCGAATAGTTCGCCTTATTTCAGTTTGTGTGACAAAACATGTAGAGCCCTTAAACTCAACTCTGGACTGCGAAGCTAGTTCCACTGCTTGTTTTCAATTGTTCCCCTCTAATCAGGGACTGATTTAGACCTGGCACACCAGGTGGTTGTAGAACAGAAAACCAGCAGGCTCCAGACCTCGTAGGTTAAGAGTTGAATACCCCTGGTGTAGAGAATCATTGTACCATCTAAACCGCTGTGAAATATCTTTTCAATATCCAAAAATATTGTATTTTCAGCTGTTTGAAACTGGTGTACAAAACCTATAGTAAAATATGAAAACAAGACTTAAAAACAGGAAGCATAGAAACAGCGCACATAGAACAAATATACTGCTTCTTAGAGACTTACTTTCAATAAGAATGACAGATCTATAACTCACATTTCTATGTGAATTTGGTCAGGTCACCCAAAAAGTTAGATATTGCAGCTTTAATTGAGAAGGATATGCTACAATGACCAAGAGCGAACTGATAGACTACAAAAAAGGTTAGGCTTGGGTGGTATACCGTATACCGGGGTATTTGGAGAAAGCAACGGGATGGTTTTTCAAGTGTCAAAACTATTTGTCGTTTTTCTATACATGTGAATATTTGTAGCTACTTGAAGTTAATACCTGCAGTCAACTTGTAAAAAATACATTAGGAGATAAAGCAGATTGCGTTCTTTATTTCACCAATCACATTATTTTACATTATAACGCTTACTGTAGTTCCCCAGAACAGTTGAGCCAGTCACGTGTTTGTTTGTAAATAGCACAACGAGAGAAAGCGGGTCCATAGCGTTCTATATCTATTGGCGAGTCTGTTGTGCAGCGCACGAGGTGATGAAGTTACTAAATGTTTGCCATCAGATATCTTATAACAGCTTTTTGCCATGTTTGAGAAGTCCTACTAAAGTTCTCCTCCTCTGTTCTTCTCCCCTCTGCTCCTTGTACACCTGTTGCCCTTCCTTCAGAAAAGCATGCATCACAACTTTGTTCATTAGGACAATTTCTCACGCTTGTAAATGTCCACTCACCAAAAATGACATTCGGTAGCTACTAGCTATGCTTGTATAACTTTATGAGCTGAATTTGCCCGTCGTTGCAATTAGTTTGTTAGTTTTTCGCTCGTTAGCATTTAGCTAATGGCGCCTGTGTGTCTTTGCTTTACTTGTGCCAGTTTTGTTAGCATTCTGGTAATAAACGCCACAATGGGCTTCCCCCCCCCCCCTTTTAGCATCCCTATGCCGACAATACCGTTAATCTCAGGATGGCAGAAGAACAGTACGGAAATCTGGACACCGCCCAAGCCTAATGGAGGTGTTGTTATTTTTTTACTGTAGAACAGGGAGAAAGTGCATGCAGCCTCAATTAGCCTAGCTAGCTAGCCAGCCAACTTAGCTAGCTTAACTAACTAGCTTCTTTCGGGTGGATGCAATTAAGACAGGTACTAAGTAATCAAACTGGATGATACATAACCTAGCTATGACAAGCTAGAAGTTAGTCTACTAGTATGAGTCTGCTTGGTATGGTTGGTCTCAGTCTTCCCCCTTCCTCCGCACTCCCCATATCACTCGCTCACACGCCGCAAGGAATGGTATGAAAATCAGGATACCACCCAACCTTACATTGGACAATCAACTGTGGGGTTGCGTGTTTCATTCCTGCATAGACTAAATATGTGTTAAACTATAAGCGAGCTAGGGTAGCAAAAGAAGAAAGATGGTCTTACCGTTACAGACTTCAGTGTCATGCCGTGGTAGGTGCCCATGGTGTCAATCTTGAATCCCTCCGTTTCTAAGGACACAATTAGTAAATCAATCAGTAATGCATGTTACTTTTCAGTAGTCTTGGGTAGGGCTATGGCGGTCATGAAATTGTCAGCCGGTGATTGTCACGAAAATAACTGCCTGTCTCACTGTAATTGACCGTTAATTAACAAACACATTCAGCATCTCCTGGCTTCCACGCATAGCCTAAAAGCCACTGATGGAGACCTTTGGAACATCTACATAAAAAAAATAAAGTAATACATCCATGAAAATATTTACACCATCACAATAAATCCATTATTTCAGACGGGTCTAAAGAAACAATATATTAAGAAAATGTAGTCTATTTCAGAAGAACAGAACACTCTGAGTTGTTCTTATGTTAGGCCCTGATCTGGCTATGCCATATGGCTGTGGGCTACACTAGTTCATTTAGCAGACAAGATTTGCTTAGAATTCCGTGGCATTATTTTATAGTATGAAGAATACAATTGAACATAGCTAATTAAAATAGAAGGGACTGGGAGACTAGTCAGGATCGAGGGATTTTTTTCCCCCAGACTCAAAATGGTTAAACATTTTTTTTCATTACTGTGTATGGAAATTAAATGGACAGCACTCTAAATATACATTTACTTCACAAAGACGGATGTATGTTTTAGCTAATAAGCCTTCATTGTGTGCAATGCAACCAACTCCGTGGCTTTGTGTTTATAGTGTCTGCCCTGAGATTAGAAGGTTGGGAATTCGATATCCGGCCAAGTCATACCAAAAGACCGTAGAAATGCGACCTGATGCATCTCTGCTTGGCACAGCATTAAGGCGATCAATTGGGGGTAAGACCCTGCGATAGACTAGCGTCCAGGGTGTGTACTCGTACATCAAGCTGCCTCACGCTACAGAAACCGCGGTTCTCTGATAATATCAGTGAGATGTATCACATTGGAATTTACTCAGGGAATCACTACTAGGAAGAACCAATCACACAGCATCCATTGGAGACTTGCAGGTCGAGTGGCGATTGAGGTGCGCCCCTCCATCTTTACAAGGCTCCACCCGCCCTCCGGTCATTCTCGAGCATGCCTTTCCATTGCGCTCTTGCGAGCAGGGAATTGCGGTGATACATACCACTCATTATCAGAGAACCCCAAGTTCTCTTTCAAATACTACATTAACCCTAAGATCTCTACCAAATACTTGTTTCGATGTATCACATTGGGATATGGTCAACACCCGTATCGCAGTCATGCTCTCCGAAGCCAGGGTAGTCCCAACAGTATCATCCCTTAGAGGCTTGGACACTGGGGACAGTATGCCCCAACAAAGGTGCAGTGACGTCCAGTCGGTAAAACCTCAAAAGTACGTGGGGAGCCCCAACATGCCACAACGAAATCTTGTGTAAAGAGATGCCTTTGAACAGTGCCCAAGAGGTAGCCATACCTCTGGTGAAATGAGCCCTCAGTCCCTCGGGGGGCTGTAAACCCTTGCTATTATAAGCCAATATAATAGCCTCCACTATCCAATGGGATAGCCGTTGACAAGAGGCGGGTCTGCCTTTGCAGGGAGCCGCCCAAGAAACTAAGTTGGTCACTCTTGCGTAAAGCTCTCGTTCTATCCAAGTAAACTTGCAAAGCACGTACTGGACATAAACTGTGTAGACACTTCTTCCGTAGAAGTGAAGGGTGGCGGGTAGAAAGCCATCACTAAGGTGAGACAGTAAAGCTTCACTCCGTTGATCTACGTACGTGCATGCACGTGGGTGGAGTGGGATTTTTGGAGTAGCGGACACCTTTTGGTAACAGTCCCACTCACAAGGGGGCGATAGCAATGTTTTTTATTTTTGTCTTTTAATTTTGTGAAAGCAAGGAAGAGTCACCTTCCCTTGCTAGTAGTAGCTAGCTGGCTTTAGGCAGTCTAAAAACATAGCAAACTACCAAGCCTTTTTTATCTTCCCACATCTCCATGTGAAACAATCAGATTTATAATTTAAAAAAATATTCTTATACTTGCCAGTGTAGCCTAAAACATTATCCCAGTTTGATATGTAAATGAATGCACAAGAAGCATATCAGCTAAAAATAGAACGTCATCCTGTTTTGGACAGGGGAAAGAAAGCACATGGCTAGCTAGTTGGCTACAGCAGGTTCTACCATTTCACAATAGCCTGTAATCACTAGTTATTTCTTCTAAACAAAATACATTTTTGGGTGGATTCTTGTTGTTTGGTTTACTGTTTGAACATTGATGAATAGCGTATAGACCAGATCAAGGCACCAAGTGACAACACTGCCCCCACAGCTGTGGAAAGAATGATAAAGCATTTTAAAATTCAGGTAGTAAAAAAGTATGCAGAATGCTAATGCTTGTAGTAAGCTTAAAGTCATTTTGCAGGACATATTTCAACTCCACGCTTTCCAGCGGTTCAAAATTCTGCTGTGAAATAGCCTCAAGGACAATAGACAGGTCCCAAGACGGGGCTAAAGGGTTGGACTGGGCGTAAGAGACGTGCTCCCTTCATGAAACAACATAAGAGGGTGTTTCCCTACGGTGTTATTGTCAAAGCCTATATAACAGGCCGAGATAGCTGCTAAATAGACCTTCAGTATCGAAAGCCTTCGCTCTGTCAAAAAGGTCCTGCAAGAAGCATAAAACCTCAGATACAGAGCATTGGTAAGAAATTATCTGTTTTTGGTCACACAGTGTAGAAGGGGCTCTAGCATGCTGGATGGTCAATGACTCAGCAGCAAGCCTGTCGTGTTCAGATTCAGCCTCTCACTGGCCAAGCCCAGAGGGCCATGGTTTTTGGGTGAAGGTGGAAAATCTCTCCGTTCACTGTCGTCACCACCTTCCTCGTTGAGGGGCTCTTTCAGTGACGGAGAGCCAAGAGACATTGAGGTTACCGTTATCTTTCAATTGAGGTGACATCGTGTACACAGACGTTGGGCAGATACCCAACGCTGGAAGTCTCTCATTCTCAGTGGTCCAAATGGTTGACACCATCAACCCCAGCACTCAGACATGTTCGGAGCGTGACCGAACACCCCCTATGGAACAGGGAGAGGCACTGTTGGAACGACTGTCTAATAGTGTAGCCCGATAGAGAATCCAGCTTGATGTCTAGGTATTCTATTCTGTGTGGGCACCAAAAAGCTTTTTTTCTGGTTGACCTTGAACCGTAACTCGGTGAGGTGGGTTACAAGGAAAGCTGTGGCACCTTTGATGGGGAGCAATGCAGGTAATCGCCTGTAGGCAGAGACTCTTAGCCCCTTGGTTCTCAGGTGTGTTAGAGCAGCTTCCACACACTTGCTTAAATGTTTGGGGAGCTAGTGCTAGCCCGAAGGGAACAGCGAGGTATTCGTAGGCTGTGCCCCAAAAGGCAAACCTGAGAAACCTACTGTGTGTTGGCAGAATACATAGGAAAATAAGCGTCCTGCAGGTTGACTGAAGTGAACCAGTAACCTTAACGAATAGAGCGAGATAGCACGTTGACCGTAAGCATAAAGAACGTGAACTTTCTCCGCTAGCCGTTGAGGAACCGTAGGTCTAGAATAGGGCGCATCCCCCCCCAAACCTTACAAAACTTGCGGGACTCAATGGAGAGCTTTCCGAGCATGTTTGTTTCCCATGGGGTACGGGGGCCCATAATGACTCCGGGAGAAAAGTATTGCTAACCGGGTTATGCGTGTGCTAGTCGATGCTTAGTTGTGAAGCTTTAGTATTAGCTAGCTAGTGTTCACCCAGTGGGCTAATAGCCTAGCTATAGCTAGCACCACGTTAGCTGAGGAAAACCATGTGAATAGTGTTGCTTCTTCGGATTTGAGAGTCTCTTGACAATAGCACAGTGAGATGTAACCGGTCAGTTTAGCCAACGAAACCCAGCATCTTCGAGCCTCCAGCGCAAGAGCGAGGGGGTTTGAGTGCCTGCCTCAGGTGGGGTAGCCGTGGCCATATTTCGTTGAACCGGGGAGTCAGGTTGGGCCGCGGTCACGCCACTGTTACCCTTCCTACGTCCCTAATTCGTAGAAGAATAAAAACGCTATAGCCGTGGGGCTAGTGTCGGCGTTAGCTAGCAACTACCTCATGGTAAGTTATAGATTGCACAGTGATAGCCGAAGGAAAACGTGTGGGTGCATTTGACTTTGGCTGATATTCTCCCCCGACCGTAATGCTGTGAGGCTAAACTGGTCGGTCTAGTTAACACAAATGATTGAACATAGGTTGAACTAAAGGAGAGAAGGGAGCTAGTAATACTACTGTATGGGCTCGTAGGAAGGCTAGTATGGTTAGCTGGCTTTGTAACGAGCTAGCCAAGTTAGCTATGCTTTGCAGCGTGGGCTAATAGCCTAGCTACTTGGCACAATGCCAACCAGAGAAAGTGTGTGCTTTCTTTGTCTCTCGACGAACAAAGCATCTCTGTGTAGCTAGGTCGGTCAGTCTAGTCAACATGACACAAGGGAACAACGTGGGTTGAACTAAACGAGCGAGGAGAGATAGCAATTCTAGCTTTCCAGGTCAGAATAGCAGTTTGGTGGTATAGCTGGCCTTGCGGCGAGCTAGCTGGGTTAGCTTAAGCCTTGCGGCGTGAGCTAGCCAAGTCTCAGTAGCTAGCCACCACAGGAGACTTAGTAGAATGAAAAGGCTAAAGAGATAATTCTACAAGAAGCAAAAACGTTCCTTTCAGTCAGTTATTCAACACAAAAGACGAGAGCGAAGTTCCTACGTTCGAAAGCGTTAACCTTGCAGTTCACCTGAGAACAGTTAAGTAGGAAGACAGGAATCAAGTCATGCTGAGGAGAGCTTCAGGAGAGTAGTGCTCTTCGCAAGGAAGAGAGGCGAGAATGACCAGAGGGCAGGCGAGTGGCGCCTTGAAGACAGGGGCACACCTCATTCGCCACTCGACCGGTCTATCTCCGACAGACGCTGTGTGATTGGTTCCTCCTAGTAGTGATTCCCAGAGCAAATCCCAATGTGATAGATCGAAATAAGTATTTGAAAGAGAACCATGTATGCCTATGCTGCCTCATAAACAATATGAACCGCATCATAATTAAACAAGCCTAAATAGAACCACCACTGTAACTGAGTGTTCAAATAGTAATACTAACTGCTCTATTTGTGAAGTAAATTGAGTATGTAGTATGTTTATTGGTCATAGTATGGATATAGTTAGTATGCCAAAAGTTCCCGGATGTTGTACTACATTTGCCAAAATACGAAGTATACAACCAGTGGACACTATTTCTGTGCTTTTTGGGCTCATAATGCAATTCTTCCGAAAACGGGCATGGCTTCACAACATTTTCAGATTTGAAGAAAATTGCGGAAAATATGCAGCCGAATTCCGACGAGAGCGGATACAAACTCATCGCTTTAACTAATTATGACAAATGTTAAGAAAATGTTGAGCAATGTAATAAAGTAATGACTTTTCAAATAAGTTACGTTACACGTTACGTTGGCTGACAATTTGTTTGCTACGTTAGCCTTACGAACCGCATAGCATATCATTACAGCAGTTGCTTGTATGAACCAGTATGTTCGCTAGCTACCTAATGTTAGTTGGCTACTAATACTTGAAACTTGCCAGCAAATTAACTATAGGCTAACTAACTACCCAACGTTTATTGACTTGATTATTCAGGTCATTCTTAGCTTAGCGGTATAGTCATTGTGCGTTCTCAATGGACATCGTTAATGAAGTCGTAAGATATCTGTTGTGAACTATTCGCTGCTCTGGTACCCCAATGGTGGAACAAGTTCCCAACGACGCTAGGACAGCGAAGTCACTGAACACCTTCCGGAGACACTTGAAACCAACCTCTTTAAGGAATACCTGGAATGGTATAACAGTAATCCTAATTTTAAAAAAAGTTGAATGCACCAATTTGTAAGTCGCTCTGGATAAGAGCATCTGCTAAATGACTTAAATGTAAAAATGTCTAGCTAGTAATTTGCTATGCTAACAAGCTAGCAATAAGTTGCATAGTAACAGCGTCAACTTCCGGTAGACTGGCGAAGTGCTAGTACACTCAACTGAAAGGATACCATTTGTTTACAGTATACTAAAATTAACTAATAGTATGTAGTATACAGTATGTTCGTATGGGTATTCGAACACAGCTATTTACTTCTAAAGAGAAAAGCACTCAAAGCCATGTTATACAATTTAGCCATCATTCAGAGCACTTGCAGTGTTTTACGCAGGCTGGTGGGAGGAGCTATAGGAGGACGGGCTCATTGTAATGGATGGAATGGTACCAAATAGGGATTTGACAAAAGGACCATGTTGCTTCACGTTTAAACTGACATTTATTTTTCCAGTTAAAACGACATGAAACAATCCTAAAATTCCATGTCAATATACAACACAGAATAATGGTCCTATTACATATGACCGCTAGGGCCGGGCAATTAAGTTATATCTACCGCAACCCTTTACAGACATAGAACACAGCTACAATATCATGCCGATTGCGACAATTGGTAACTTTTCAGACAATTTAAAAAATTGACAGTAGAATTCTGCTCCGGTATAACATTCTATTTTTTTCCCCTAACAATAATAATCGTTGTGCTGCTGTGTTTTTTATGGTATGGTAGCTAGATGCGTTTTATTCCTACTAAATGTCTTGGTAAGTCAAGATATTTAACCAACTTTAAAAGTACTTTTTTTAGGAGAGATTAGTCTGCGCGCAGCAGCAGCTCAAGATTATTTGATTGACAGTTCTGGTCACCTAGTGATGATGTTAGTCCTGCTTCAGAAGCCTCATTCCTTTACATACAAGTAGAATGCTGGTTCATATCTCCAGAGAAGGTTTCGTGTTGGCATTTAACATTTTGCCTACCCTAACAGACATTCAAACAAACATGCCGTAGTGCTTTCAAGGGGCCACATCCCTTTATGTCTGAAAAGGTTAATCTATAAAGGCTACCGGTAGCCTGCTGTAATTTCAAATTATGAGACAAAAACAAATAGTAGGCTACCCCGTGCTTGCAAGACTGGCCCGAAGACACCCATGTAGCCCAGCGACATCATGCCATGAATAGGCTAGGATATACTACACGCAACAGACCGAATACACACTTGCATCATTAGCAAAGAGACAGAGCAGGCAGGCCAGCGCGAGGGAGAGAGAGGGGCATCTTGCAATGTCTTGTACGCTTCTTCCTCTCTGGTTTTATTTGAATTACACAACTTTCCCCAGGCCTTTATAGCTTATCGACTATAACACAGAAATAATGTTTTGTGATAACTGCACTGTGATTTTAATTAAGTGGGGGGAAAAAAACAAAGAAACAGTTTCTTAACTTTAAGGATCCCAATTTCATTTAAAACGTTCACACCCATAGTGCCAAACATATCAAACGCATGGCAACAACGCGTGACTCCGTCCCATTGATTCCATTCCAACCATTACAATGAGCCAGTCCTCCTTTAGCTCCTCCCAACAGCCTCCTTTGCACATGCACACACACAAAATACAAATATTAATGGCCATATTTACAAAGAAACAACGTCACAATGACAATGTGCCCTGGTCCCACTCACCCTCTTTTCCTTTGAATCTCTCCTGATCGTATCGGTTATAGGCAGCTGGGACAGGCTGTTTGTTCCTTATGGATGGGTCCTTGAGGAGAGGCAAGAGGTTACACTTAAAACACAGGTAATTTCCAATTAATTATCCACATATTGAGACTATTATAATGAAGTGCAGAGTTGTAACTACGCTCAACCCTGCTTCAACAGATTACATAGTCATTGACCTTTTTCTGGAGAAGCACCAAGTTCATTTCACGCTCCATTTCTTTCAGAAATGATAACAGGGAGGTGAGGTATTCATAGATGTTACAGAACTCATCAGCAAGAGCCTTTACTAGTTACGGATTTCATTCACAATGATGCATTGGCTGGATTCTTAGAACGCAAAAGTGTGTATCCAGAATCAAACTATGGTGGTACATCTACAACGTGCATTAAATTAAACATGTTCCTTACCACCTGAGTGGTGTTCTGTGCTGGCCTCTGCTCAGGGCCGCGTCCCTCCTCCCTGGCCTTCACCGATTGCAGGATGGCAAAGATGTTTTTAGAGAAGTTCTGCATGAGCAAAAGATTTATCAGCACAGTGTAAAAGGTAGGCGAGACATCAAACCAAAGAAAAAGCTTTGATGTGTAACTGAAAAGCTACAAAGGACCCTTTCCTGTGAACATTGCACAGTGACATATGCAGAGCGATCTCCATCAACCAATCCTTTGAGCTTACTCTACCCACAAATGTTCTAAAATCAAATGTATATAAATCAAAAAAGGTATTAATAATTGGGGAGAGATTAGTGTCTACAGAAATGTTACCTAGATTCTGATACATGGAGGTTTTCCGCCAAATGTGTAATCACAGACATCACTTTTAATAACAGAACAGCAGATATCACCACCAAAATCAAAACATTTCCCTTGTGGGAATGCTGCCACCTGCAGGCATAAATGTTTTTTGATCAGCTATGGATAAGGATCATCACCTCCACCCTTCAAGGCCAATTTTGTGCTATGGTGGCTATGGTTACCCAAGTGTAACGTCTACATGGAGTGTGTGTGTGTCTTCCCATGTGGCCGGGTTCCTCCTCATAATATCCGGAAATGAAGCATTCCCTAAATTACAGAATGACCCCTCCCCCCCAGTCATAGCCAGTCCAGTCTATGGGGTTGACCTCTGACCTTTCCAGTGCTCTGTAGGATGGTGGTCCTGGTCCTCCACACCCGCTCCCTGCTGACAATGTCCCTGGTCACGTCCACCTCAGCGTCCACGAAGCTCCTCTGCTTCAGAGTGATGTCCTCATCCAGATCTGTCTTAATGGTGGAGCGCTTCTTTGCCATGATCTTGGCTTTGATGGCGGCGATCTTCTCCACGGACATAGCCTCGGACAGTGACCTGGGGGTAGAGATGATTTCAGTTAACCCTTATTTCACTAGGTAAGTTGAGAGGAACACATTATCATTTAGCTTTTCATCATTTTAATAAAAAGCTAAGTTTTGATTGAGTAGACGTTCATGTCCGAGTTTGATTGAGCAGCAATGCAATTAATAACGCACAGTTTTGTGAATAAAGCAAGGTTCCTGGTTTGTGTTTTTGTCTGTTACCGCTCTCAATGGGATTTGTTAGCTAATATCTTAAAACCTGTGTGCAGCAATGGTGGCTTATTGATAATTGCCCACTTTCTGTAACTAGGGAGTTCAATGACAGTGCCTTCATACCTATCCTAATGCTAGTCATAAGAAAGTGATACGACTGCTCCGCTCAAGCCAACGGCCCAACATTTTTTTTTTTTTTTTTTTTTTTTTTGGTCATTTAGCAGACGCTCTTATCCAGAGCGACTTACAGGAGCAATTAGGGTTAAGTGCCTTGCTCAAGGGCACATCGACAGATTTTTCACCAAGTCGGCTCGGGGATTAGAACCAGCGACCTTTCGGTTACTGGCACAACGCTCTTACCCACTAAGCTACCATTACCAGCTTCCATTGCTAAGGACCTACATCTTTTGTTTGTGTTTTTGTTTAGTTTTTTTAATCTACGTACATTTTAATAGCAATTCAGCTTGTTGCTGCCAGTTGTACAATGTTGTTGAAGAACAGTAAAAAAAATAAAAAATACTATTCTTGAACTTTAAAACAAAGACTGGATGATGGACAGGTTTAGGCGCGGATACCTGATCTGGTCAGTTTGCACAATGCCCTCTTTGTGGCCCTCCAGTCGAGCAGCCAGACGCTCCTTGTCCAGACGCACTCGTTCCTCATCCTAGAGAATGATGTTATAGAAAGGTAAAATGCTCCGTTTTCTATGGCAAGACTTGAAAATGGCTGTCTAGCATTGATCAACTTGACAGAACTTGAATACTTTTTAAAAGAATAATGTGTAACTATTGTACAATCCAGGTGGGCAAAGCTCTTACAGATACTTACCCAGAAAGACTCACAGATGTAGTCGCTGCCAAAGGTGACCAACATGTACTGACTCAGGGGGTTGAATACTTATCTAATCAAGATATTTTGGTTTTTTATTTTTCCTAATTATTTTATTTTTTAATGTTAGAATTTTTCTTCCACTTTGACATTACAGTATTTTGTGTGGATTGTTGACAAAAAAATGACATTTAAATCCCACTTTGTAACAACAAAATGTGGAAAAAGTCAAGGGGTGTGAATACTTTCTAAAGGCACTGTATCTGGCCTCTTGTTTAACAGGATTTCTATTGAGAATTCCTATTGAGCTGAGGAGTCAGAACAGTGCAGGTAAAATAAGAAATATAATTCACCTCTATCCTTGGTTTTTTGGCTTCAGATGACACCTCATCTGCTGCTCGTTTGACTGAGGATGCAAAAAAAAGAATAATTAGCCAACTATACAAAATTAAGCTAAACCTTTTCAGTTCTTATCTGATTTACATTCGTGCAACAAGCCAATGATGTACAAATGGCATATTAGGCCTCACAGCATGGACTGTGGATATATCCGTTGCAAGAGAACATATTTCCTAATATGCATGGATTAAAATCATCCAATCACTCAATGGAAGAGTATCCAAAATGCTTAAACTGTACCTTGTGTGGGCCTTTGCAAACCAATCTCTATGGGGGCACTTCTGTCGATACTTGTCGAAGTAGCTGTGAAGGGAAATCAAAGGGGAATACGCTTTATTATACAACGGGTGGGTATAATCCTGAATGCTGATTGGTTAAAACCGCATTCCAGCCGGTGTCTATTCCACAAATTGCCACCGGCTAAATCTATGACGTTAAAATTGCCATTTACTCTGTTCCATCTGACTGCACAATCCACGGTCTCATCAGCCCAGCCAGGCAACTTATAAACTTGATCTCCACTTATAAAAGCAAAGTCATTTCTTTTTTTAAACATTTTTAGTCATTTAGCAGACGCTCTTATCCAGAGGGACTTAGTTAGTGAATACATATTATTATTTTTATACTGGCCCCCCGTGGGAATCGAACCCACAACCCTGGCGTTGCAAACGCCATGCTCTATCAACTGAGCTACATCCCTGCCGGCCATTCCCTCCCCTACCTTGGATGACGCTGGGCCAATTGTGCGCCGCCCATGAGTCTCCCGGTCGCGGCCGGCTGCGGTTATGTTTATTGGTCATAGTATGGATATAGTTAGTATGCCAAAAGTTCCCGGATGCCGTACTACATTTGCCAAAATACGAAGTATACAACCAGTGGACACTATTTCTGTGCTTTTTGGGCTCATAATGCAATTCTTCCGAAATTGGCCGTGGCTTCACAACATTTTCAGATTTGAAGAAAATTGCGGAAAATATGCAGCTGAATTCCGACGAGAGCAGATACAAACTCATCGCTTTAACTAATTATGACAAATGTTAAGAAAATGTTGAGCAATGTAATAAAGTAATGACTTTTCAAATAAGTTATGTTACACGTTATGTTGGCTGCCAATTTGTTTGCTATGTTAGCCTTACGAACCGCATAGCATATCATTACAGCAGTTGCTTGTATGTACCGGTATGTTCGCTAGCTACCTAATGTTGGTTGGCTACTAATACATCAAACTTGCCAGTATATTAACTATAGGCTAACTAACTACCCAACGTTTATTGACTTGATTATTCACGTCATTCTTAGCTTAGCGGTATAGTCATTGTGCGTTCTCAATGTACATTTTTAATGAAGTTGTAAGATGTCTAGCTAGTAATTTGCTATGCTAACAAGCTAGCAATACGTTGCATAGCAACAGCATCAACTTCCGGTAGACAGGCGAAGCGCTAGTACACTCAACTGAAAGGATACCATTTGTTTACAGTATACTAAAATTAACTACCGTATTTTCCGCACTATAAGGCGCACCGGATTATAAGGCGCACCTTCAATGAATGGCCTATTTTAGAACGGTTTTCATATATAGGGCGCACAGAATAGAAGATACTGCAGTCAAACGTTTGACTGGGGTTGCGTTATGTATCCACTAGATGGAGCTGTGCTAAAGGGAATGTCAACAAAACAGTCAGATAAAGTCAAACTTTATTAAGCGTTCTGACAACTCCGTTCACTCCAATGGTAACGTTGTTCAAACGTTAATGTGCATATTAACAATATCTCCCAGCCTTGCTCACTCTTCTCCCAAACGTGGAGGGGAACTTTTCCCTGATTCAGTAAACACGTAGTAAAATAAACAGTCTGATACCACTAAATCAAACGTTAGTGCATAACTCAACATTGTTCAGTTACGTATAACACGTAAAGCTCACTTTTTCAGTTCATTCCCCGTCCACGAATCCCTCGAATTCTTCTTCTTCAGTGTCCGAATTGAACAGTTGGGCGACTACGGCATCCAACCTGCCCGGCTCCCTCTCGTCATTATCCGAGTCAGTGTCGCTGCTGTTGCCTGGCAGTTCAGAGATTATTCCTGCCTTCGTGAAAGCTTGGACCACAGTTGAGACTGATATATCAGCCCAGGCATCCACGATCCATTGGCAGATGGTGGCGTAAGTCGCCCGGCGCTGTCTCCCTGTCTTGGTGAACGTGTGTTCGCCTTCTGTCATCCACTGCTCCCACGCAGCTCGCAGTCTAGCTTTGAACGCCCTGTTGACACCAATATCTAGCGGCTGGAGATCTTTAGTTAATCCACCCGGAATGACGGCAAGCTCCGAATTAGTTTGCTTCACTTGTTTTTGGACAGCATCGGAGATATGGGCGCGCATGAAGTCGTAGATCAATAGGGACGGAGCTGTGTGGAAAAAGCCACCCGGTCTCTTGACGTAAATTTCTCTCAGCCACTCACTCATCTTTTCCTCATCCATCCATCCCTTCGGGCTAGCTTTGATGACGACGCCGGCTGGAAAGTTCTTTTGGCAAGGTCTTCCTCTTGAAAATAACCATGGGTGGAAGTTTCTGGCCATTAGCCTGGCAGGCGAGAACTACAGTGAAGGATGACTTCTCATTCCCTGTGGTGCGTACAGACACCGTACTGGTCCCCGTTTTCTCCACAGTGCGGTTCACGGGAATATCAAAGGTGAGTGGAACCTCGTCCATGTTGGTGATGTGCTCTGGCCAGATCTTTTCAGTGATCTTCTTTTTGCAGTATGCGCGGAAAGTGACCAGCTTTTCTTGGTAATCTTTTGGCAGTTGCTGCGAGACGGTAGTTTGTGTGCGGATGGAGAGATTACATCTTTTCATAAAACGAAAGCACCAAGAAGGACCACCTCGAAATTCATCGATGATCATGTCCCGTGCTAGCGCTGTTGCCTTCATTCGAATAGTGACTGTAGAGACGCTTCTACCTGCTGCTCTCTGTTCAACAACCCACTGTTCGAGTTTGTCCTCTAACTGTGGCCATCTCGCTTTGTTCCCTCGGAAACTCTGTTTAGTCTTCTTTACTTGGCGCAGGTCATCTTCTTGCTTCCTCCACTTCCGTACCATTGATTCATTAATGTTGAATTCTCTCGCTGCTGCTCTATTCCCATATTCTACTGCGTGACCGACAGCCTTGAGCTTGAACTCTGCGTCGTAAGCGTGTCTCTTGAAAGGTGCCATTTTGGGGACTTTATACACACACAAGTGGTGTGGGACTGTGAGTAAGCACAGTACCGGTGTTTACTGACTACGGTAGCCGTAATGCTGCGGCTTTGTAGTTTACCAGTCGTACTGAAACATTTCATTATTATTAAATTGTTTTTATTGGTTTTTCATACTGAAACATTTTGACAGAGCGCCTTGAGCGCCGTGTACAACCAGTATGGATCAACCAATTAACCAATTGATCCATATATAAAGCGCTCCGGATTATAAGGCGCACTGTCGTTTTTTGAGAAAATTAAAGGCTTTTAAGTGTGCCTTATAGTGCGGAAAATACGGTAATAGTATGTAGTATACAGTGTGTTCTTATGGGTATTCGAACACAGCTATTTACTTCTAAAGAGAAAAGCACTCAAAGCCATGTTATACAATTTAGCCATCATTCAGAGCACTTGCAGTGTTTTACGCAGGCTGGTGGGAGGAGCTATAGGAGGACGGGCTCATTGTAATGGATGGAATGGTACAAAATAGGGATTTGACAAAAGGACCATGTTGCTTCACGTTTAAACTGACATTTATTTTTTCAGTTAAAACGATATGAAACAATCCTAAAATTCCATGTCAATTTACAACAGAATAATGGTCCTATTACATTTGACCGCTAGGGCCGGGCAATGAAGTTATATCTACCGCAACCTTTTACAGACGTAGAACACAGCTACAATAACATGTCAATTGGTAACTTTTCAGACAATTTAAAAAAGTGACAGTAGAATTCTGCTCCGGCATAACATTATTTTTTTCCCTCCCCAACAACAATAATCGTTGTGCTGCTGTGTTTTTTATGGTATGGTAGCTAGATGTGTTTTATTCCTAATAAATGTCTTGGTAAGTCAAGATATTTAACTAACTTTTGTATAAAAATTATAATGCCCTTGAAGCCAGTGTTTGGAGGATATATTGGCACGGTTTGGCAGCCCTCGCCGAACAACACCTGTGCCAATATATCCTCCAAACACCGGCATTATCACTTAAGTACAATTATTTCAATGGAATCAACACAATTCATTTCCTAGTTAGGTTTCCATCTAATTGGAGACATTTTCATGCAAATATTTTAAAATCTGCATAAATAATTCTCAATTCATACTTACAACTTTCTCCATTGAGATACGATAGCAAGCCCTTTCGATCAGGTCTTCTGACAACTGGAATGTTCTCGGTCTAGGGTGATCATAAAACCATGTAAATCACGATGAAATACAACATTTACAAAGGTCACTACAAAGCTTCCAACAATGACAGCCAATAGGCCACTGGCAACACCAGGTTAGAAGACATGACATTCATTTCAGCATTAGGCAACACATATTCTAACTAACAAGCTTTTGGAATGAGGACACAAGTTGACTTACTGCAGCCCTTCGCACGTAGGATGGATGAGGGAGATGCACATTGTTGAGCAGGAACAGGATCGAGTCCAGAGTATAGTACTCCTTCGGCTGACCCTCCTTCCCAGTTCTGAAAATGGAAAGTGAAAATCATCAGCTTTGACCAGCAGTTTTGTCCACAGTTGTTAAAGCAAAATCCATCTTGGCCCCCTCTTCTGGAACTAATCTGGAATTTAGGCACAATGTATGCATTAATAGCTCCGGCTTAGAGAAATAGTCTAAATCCTGTATTTTGTTAATGACATTACACACAAATTGTGACCAGGACAACCGTGTCACAGCTCTTCAATGACACTTCCAACTGGTCCAACTTGCTGGGTCCAGGTGCATGAGGTTGATTAAGGGTTTGTCCAACTATTACATTTATTATCGCTGAAAGACTGCTGGTTCTGCAAAAAAAAAAACAGGAAATACTGTAGCTAGCTAGCTTGCAAGCACCTATGGAGGCAAAGGTAGATAGTTAGCTAGCTAAACGAACTTTACTAGCTAACTTAGCTACCTGACTTCAATGTAAATGTCTACCTGGCAAGCTAGAAATGTCAAACATAGTGACATGTATGGTCACGTGCAGAAATCAATAATAGCTAGCTAACTGCAATATTGTAGCTACCTAGCAAGCTAATCTATCGTGGACAGATTCTCAATGACAAACGTATTAATTGCAGTTTTAATACCTAACTAACGTTAGCTGACTAAACCTGGCGTGTTTGCATTGCAAGCGAGACAGCTGGCTTACGACAACGTTTGCCTGGCATGGTTCTGTTAGCTAAGCAGCTAACCTTAGCTAGCTAAACGAACCACAACGGTATACATTTGAATAAGCAAGTTAGTTAGCTTGAAATTAGATGGTTAACGTGCTAGTTAACCCCCCTAACTAACAGTAAAAACTAGCTGCATGTGTGATCTTTCAGTGCAATTAGTCGCACCTTACAAACAGCGCAAGAAAAGTTTTGGCAACACAGCAGTGGCTAGCAGCTAACGTTAGTCAATAGCTAGCTACAACAGGCCGATTGAATAGTTATTCATCAATTTATAAGCAAAATTAACATACCCCCAAATGACATAGTTAGTCTTGACATTTTTGGGCCAAGAGAATTCTCCAAAGATAACTTCGTCTCCTTTGGCGACGATTTCTTTTTTCTGGATGTTGTACTGGCGAAGAACACTCAACACGTCCGCCATCTTCACTTGTCTTCATGTAGTAGCTATGATTGCAAGGCCTCCAGTCACCTATCAACAGAATGCAATGTGGTCTCACAGAATGCCTGATCCCAATTTCCAGTTATATTTGTTCAATGTCAATTGATAAACCTAGCCTGAAAACAAACTGCATTACACATATTGACTGATCTCTCTATATACGCACATTCAAAAAGTATCTTTCATTCATGCCCACTATGCCTCAAAGTTTGAGTTGCACTAAAATCTCTGCAGTACTAGTGTAAGTACCCCTCTAGCCATAAAATATTTGCTTTGCTTTCTCTGTAAAAAGTACAATTGACAGGAAATAGACATAGCAAAAGAGATGTACATGAAACACTACTATTAAAACCTCGTAAGGATCGGACCCGTTTTTCCCCCAATTGTCGCCTAAAATTACATACCCAAATCTAACTGCCTGTAGCTCAGGACCTGAAGCAAGGATATGCATATTCTTGATACCATTTGAAAGGAAACACTTTGAAGTTTGTGGAAATGTGAAATTAATGTAGGAGAATAACACATTATATCTAGTAAAAAATAGTTTGTATAATTTTTTAATCATCTTTGAAATGCAAGAGAAAGGCCACAATATAATATTGCAGTTTAGGCGCAATTTAGATTTTGGCCACTAGATGGCAGCGGTGTGTGCAAAGTTTCAGATTGATCCAGTGAAGCGTTGGAATACTGGACTATTTTGTATCAAGTCTGCCCAAATGTGCCAAATTGGTCAATTGATACATTTTCAAGTCAGTGGCGGCTCCTGAAAAAATTCTCAGGGGGGGCAATTTTTCTGATGATTTAGGTGACCTACACACATTTTAAAAAAGATATGTCCAGCAACAACATGAAGACAGGGGCAGCATATAAGTCAATACTGATATACACATTACTTGCTTCAAAAAGGCCTCATGGTTGAATTGGAAATATGTGCACCTGAGCATAATTCACAACAAGCAAGCAGGAGCTTTTGATAGAGGCTACTGAAAACATTGATGCAAGTTATTGGTAATAAGAAATTTTTATAGACTTCCATATTCTGCCCTCTTGTATAGATTTGTGAAAATGAACAGTGATAGACATTTTGCCTGAAAACAGAATTTGAAAATTATTTCTAGAAAAGGTAAACACAGCTATCTGTATGGCTTTGTAAAAATGAACAACCATATTCTGGCCAATTGTATAGATTTGTAAATATGAACAACCATATTCTGGCCAATTGTATAGATTTGTAAAAATGAACATGAACAGATTATTATTTTTTTTTTACTTTTTTTAATATGAAAAATAACTATTTTAAACAACATCAACTGTGAACTGATTTGGGCGTGTGTGTGTTAAAGAGACAGACAGGGAGGGACAAAGAGAGAGAGAGGCTAAATTACTTGTACTGAAACTGTTCTAGCTTGCTGCATGATCAAATTCAGCTGATGCGCATAGCAATGCACGTAATGGGCATTCTTGAAATGCTCACGCAACTTTTGCTGCACACCAGCCTTCTCTCCCCTCATCACACTGGCTCCATCGTAAGCTTGCGCAATGAGTTTGACTTTCTCGTCGTCGGCAAAAAGACCGTTCAGTCTCTCCAAAAGCACACTGGCGATTGAGACTAAGGTTGATTCCGAGATGGGAAGGAACTCAAAAAAGCGCTCCTGCACTTTGTGGTTGCTATCTATGTACCTCAGCACAAGCACCAGCTGTGTCTGTGTAGAAACGTCCGGTGGTCTCGTCAGCTTGGATAGCTACGAAGTTCGCTGACTTCACCTCCTCCACAATATGTTCCCTCATGACCGCTAGCATACACTCCAGTAGCTCGTTTTGAATGGTCTTTGATGTTCCCTTGAAAACTTTAGCATTTTTAAGATGGTCATCAAACACCTCATCTAATTGTGCCACAAAGTTGACAAGTCCAAGAAAAATACCAGGGTTGGTGGAGCCCTCAGTTTCATCTTTGCCTCGCAAAGCTAGCCATCTTGACAGTTGTACGTGAATTGATTGACGCTGCTACCCGCTCTTTTCTTAGTTATGTTCATGGTTACTTATGTTACATATGACGAAAGCGCGTAAGTGCAAGCCCTCCCGGAACCCATAGAGATTGTATTGAAAGCTCTGATATTTGAAAAAAAAAATATTTTACATGATAGTCTATGAGAGACTCCTGGGCGATTTTCAACCTGACTGAAATCGCCCCAAAAGGGGCGGGGCCATTTGAAGCACGACTTTAGCCTGATTGGACATTTAGTGGCAGATCAGACGTCTAGATTAGAACACTGATAACTACTGTTGCCGTGATATAATTGATTAGAAAAAAAATCCCTTCCTTTTCCCGTTTGGCAGTGCGTCGCCCATATCGCCCTAATGAACACACCGCCCCTGTTTCAAGTACATAACTATAGAGAACATACAAAAATTATATGGTAATACAAAATTTAAGTTTACACACTCCCAGAAATGTCATACATGATGGATCATTAGCTTATACACTAACTTTCACACATCTAGATGGCCAGGCGGGGTGTGTGTGGAGCCAGAGACAGCAGGGGTTCAAACTGTAGAACCCAGTTCCTACATTTGAATATAAACATGGATTTTATCAAACAAAACTATGCTTCATTTTATCTCTGGGACCCTTAGGATGACAAATCAGAGCAAGATTACTGAATGTAAGTACATTATTTACTTTCAGAGGTGAATGTATCAAACCAGTTGACGTGATACGTTTTTGTTGTTGTGCACTCTCCTCAAACAATAGCATGGTATTTTTTCACTGTAATAGCTACTGTAAATTGGACATTGGAATTTAAGCTTTCTGCCTATATAAGACATGTCTATGTCATGCTAATCACATTAGCGCACGTTAGCTCAACCGTCCCGTATACGGGACCCCGATCCCGTAGAGGTAAATGTTTGCATTGACACTATGACTCCTGTAAATGGCTACCCCATTCATAGATGCTAATTTAGCCGGGGGAAGTTTTGTAAGAGCCCCAATGACTCTCGTTCTGAATGTTAAAACTCATAGTTTTGGAAACATAAGAACTTATCAAATAAAAATTTATTTGCCACATGCACCAAATACAACAGGTGTAGATGTAACAGTGTTGCTTACGTCCCTCTCCTCGCCCCTACCTGGGCTTGAACCAGGGACCCTCTGCACACATCGACAACAGTCGCCCTCGAAGCACCGTTACCCGTCACTCCACAAAAGCCGCGGCCCTTGCAGAGCAAGGGAAACAACTACTTCAAGGTCTCAGAGCGAGTGACGTCACCGATTGAAATGCTACTAGTGCGCACCGCTAACTAGCTAGCCATTTCACACCGGTTACATAGACATTACAGTGAAATGCTTACTTACAAGCCCTTAACCAACAATGCAGTTTTTTAAGAAAAGAAAAAAAGTGTTAAGTAAAAAATAGATACAAAATATAATAAAGTCATTGTAAAAAGAAAAAAAGAAAAAAATGTGAAAAAATATACAAAAAAACTGCAAATAATTAAAGAGCAGCAGTAAAATAAAATAACAGTAGGGAGGCTATATACAGGGGGTACCAGTACAGAGTCAATGTGCGGGGGCACCGGTTAGTCGAGGTAATTGAGGTAATATGTACATGTGGGTAGAGTTAAAGTGACTATGCATAAATAATAAACAGAGTAGCTGCAGCGTAAAGAGGGTGATGGGGTGGGGTGGGGTGGGGTGAGGTTGGGGGGCAATGCAAATAGTCCGGGTAGCCATGATTAGCTGTTCAGCCTGAGGGGCTCCCGTGTTAAGGATCAGCGTGGCAGATGTGTTGTTACCTACCCTTACCACCTGGGGGCGGCCCGTCAGGAAGTTCAGGATCCAGTTGCAGAGGGAGGTGTTTAGTCCCAGGGTCCTTAGCTTAGTGATGAGTTTTGAGGGCACTACGGTGTTGAATGCTGAGCTGTAGTCAATGAATAGCATTCTCACATAGGTGTTCCTCTTGTCCAGGTGGGGAAGGACAGTGTGGAGTGCAATAGAGATTGCATCATCTGTGGATCTGTTGGGGCGGTATGCAAATTGGAGTGGGTCTAGGGTTTCTGGGATAATGGTGTTGATGTGAGCCATGACCAGCCTTTCAAAGCACTTCATGGCTACAAACGTGAGTGCTACGGGTCGGTAGTCATTTAGGCAGGTTACCTTAGTGTTCTTGGGCACAGGGACTATGGTGGTCTGCTTGAAACATGTTTGTATTACAGACTCAGTCAGGGACATGTTGAAAATGTCAGTGAAGACACTTGCCAGTTGGTCAGCGCATGCTCGGAGTACACGTCCTGGTAATCCGTCTGGCCCTGCGGCCTTGTGAATGTTGACCTGCTTAAAAGTCTTACTCACATCGGCTATGGAGAGCGTGATCACATAGTCATCCGAAACCGCTGATGCTCTCATGCATGCTTCAGTGTTGCTTGCCTCGAAGCGAGAATAGAAGTGAGCCCCGTGTAGCTCAGTTGGTAGAGCATGGCGCTTGCAATGCCAGGGTTGTGGGTTCGTTTCCCACGGGGGGGCAGTATGAAAAAAAAGATGTATGCACTCCAGAGTAAGTCGCTCTGGATAAGAGCGTCTGCTAGATGACTAAAATGTCAAATGTAGCTCGTCTGGTAGTCTTGTGTCACTGGGCAGCTCGCGTCTGTGCTTCCCTTTGTAGTCTGTAATAGTTTTCAAGCCCAAATGACTCTCGTTCTGAATGTTAAAACTCAGCTTGCGGTATGGTTTTGGAAACATAAGAACTTATCTTTCATATCAGCAAGAAATATTTTTTTTAATACAAAAGGTTAAATTACAACACAACTTTATAGGGTTAGGGTTCCCACATAGCGATATCACCATGTAAGCACTTGTTTATGGAAAACAGAGGTGGTCACCTGTGCTAATTAGCTATCTAGCATGTTTCGAGCACCTGTGTGAAAGAATAACTGGGGAGGAAGTGTAGTTTGTCAACTGGAGGCACACACAGCATATGGATCTG